CTAACCCTAACCCCTAACCCTAACCCTAACCCTAACCCTAACCCTAACCCTAACCCTAACCCTAACCCTAACCCTAACCCTAACCCTAACCCTAACCCTAACCCTAACCCTAACCCTAACCCTAACCCTAACCCTAACCCTAACCCTAACCCTAACCCTAACCCTTGCACTTTTGTCAATTGCGCTCCTGTCGATTGCATTCGTCTTGATTGCACTCATGTCGATTGTGCTGCTCCAGCAGAGCAGGCGCTCCTGTCGATTGCGATCCTCTCTCTTGTGCTCGTGTTGATTGCGCTCCTCTCTCCTGCTCTACTTTCGATTGCGCTCCTGTTAATTGCACTCCTCTTGATTGCGCTCCTCTTGATTGCGCTCCTCTTGATTGACTCCTGTCGATTGCTCTGCTCTCCATTGCGCTCCTCTCTCCTGCTCTGCTCTCAATTGAGCTCCTGTCGATTGCGCTCCTGTCGATTGCTCTGCTCTCAATTGCGCTCCTCTCCCTTGCTCTGCTCTCTCTTGCACTCCTGTCGATTGCACTCCTGTCGATAGAGTTCCTGTCGATTGCTATCCTCTTGATTGCGCTCCTGTCGATTGTGCTGCTCCAGCAGAGTGAGCACTCGTCTCGATTGCGCTCCTCTCGATTGCGCTGCTACAGCAGAGTGAGCGCTGCTCTCAATTGCGCTCCTCTCGATTGCACTCCTCTCTCTTGCGCTCCTGTGGATTGCTCTCCTCTCTCCTGCTCTGCTCTCGATAGAGCTCCTGTCGATTGCACTACTCTCTGCTGCTCTTCTCTCGATTGCACTCCTCTCTCTTGCGCTCCTGTCGGTAGAGCTCCTCTCTCCTGCGCTCCTGTCGATAGCTCTGCTCTCTCTTGCTCTGCACTCGATTGCGCTGCTCCAGCAGAGTGTTAGCTGCTTCGAATTGCGCTCCTGTCGATTGCGCTGCTCTCGATTGCGCTCCTCTCTCTTGCACTCGTCTTGATTGTGCTCCTGTTGATTGTGCTCCTGTTGATTGTGCTCCTGTCGATTGTGCTCCTGTCGAATGCGCTGCTCTCTCCTGCTCTGCTCTCGAGTGAGCTCCTGTCGATTGTGGTCCTCTTGGTTGCACTCCTCTCGATTGCGCTGCTGCAGCAGAGTGAGCGCTCCTCTTGATTGCGTTCCTCTCTGCTGCTCTGCTCTCGATTGCGCTCCTCTCGGTTGCTCTCCTCTCGATTGCACTCCTCTCTCTTGCGCTACTGTCGATTGCGCTCCTCTCTCCTGCTCTGCTCTCGAGTGAGCTCCTGTCGATTGCTCTCCTGTCTATTGAGCTCCTGTTCATTGAGCTCCTTTCGATTGTGCTCCTGTTGAATGCACTCTTGTCGATTGCGCTCCTCTCTGCTGCTTGTCTCTAGATTGCTCTCCTGTCGATTACGCTCCTCTCTCTCGCTCTGCTCTCTCTTGTGCTACTTTCGATTGTGCTCCTCTCTCCTGCTCTGCTCGTGATTGCGCTCCTCTCGATTGCGCTGCTGCAGCACAGTGCTCGCTCCTGTCGCTTGCACTCCTCTTGATTGTGCTCCTGTCCATTGAGCTGCTGTTGATTGCACTTTTGTCAATTGCGCTCCTGTCGATTGCGTTCGTCTTGATTGTGCTCATGTCGATTGTGCTGCTCCAGCAGAGTGAGCGCTCCTCTCGATTGCGCTCCTCTCGATTGCGCTCCTCTCAATTGCGCTGCTCTCAATTGTGCTGCTCCGACAGAGTGTGCGCTGTCCAGCAGTTCGCTGATGAGATTGAGCTTCTCAGATTGCGTTGCTCCAGCTGTGCATTGCTCTTGAGCTGTGTGTTGCTCTTGAGCTGTGTGTTGCTCTCGAACAGTGTGTTGCTCTCGAGCTGTGCACTGCTCAGATTGCGTTGCTCCAGCAGAGTGTGCGTTGCTCCAGCTGTGAGTGCGTTGCTCCAGCTGTGCGTTGCTCAATTTGCGCTGCTCCAGCGAAAATAAATTTGTTTGCATTGCAGCACTTGAGCAGTGTAAATTTCGAGTGCATTGGGGGTCAACGCAGTTGCATGAATTTCGAATTTGGCAGAGCACAATTGTGCATTGCCTGCAAGCAAGACACACCGGCTAGGGCTAGGGCTAGGGGCTCATCCACCTGGGTGGCAACCACTATGAGATCCTGAGCTTGTGATGGGACTGACCAGACTGTATGTACATAGCACTCCTCAGAAAGCCCAAAGAAACACCCTTGTAAATAGCCAACAACCTCTGCTGGTCATGACTGTCACATGTCACCAAGTAGGGTTAGAGTTGGCCAACATGAGTCACCATATCTCAATGACCAGACTTCACTCCTGTCTGAAACTCTTTATCCATCATCTCCTAGCATATGTCTACAATGTTCATTAATGTAGCATAAAGATCTGAGGTGGTCCATATCCCACCCCTCCAAGGGGGGACCCTTGCAGCTTTGGCCAAAATTTCAAAAATGCAAAGTTGGCTGCAGCTCCACAACAGGTTGGTCTATCATCAAGACAGTCTAGGACACTCTTATTGGTGTATAGAGCAACAACTTTTATTATGGGTGCATGTCAAAAATATCAATATTTCAATGACCTGACTCATACCAGGCCCAACTTCACCAAGCTGTATCCGAAAATTTTATTACTCAACTTGAGTAGGGTTGGATAATGAAACATGCATAGTTTGGGTAGTACTACAACTTTGATTAAGCAACCCTACTTGATTTAAAAATGGAACCCCCTTGTAACCCTAGGTGTGAGTGTGAGAGAGAAATGATGTCAACAAAGGTGTTGTAAGGCAGAGTGGTAGTGAGGTGTGAGCATGAGAGAGAACAACAGCTGATGAAGACAAGTGGTGATTATGTTGTGTGGTGATGATGAGAAGTAGTGGCAGCAAGAACAAAGGCCTAAGAGTGCAAAGGAGGCTCATGATGTTGACAAAGGTGTTGTAAGGCTGAGTAGTTGTGGGGTGTAAGTGCAAGTGTTGTCCTGGAGCTCTGCATTGCTCTTGAGCTGTGCATTGCTCAAATTGCGCTGCTCCAGCAGAGTGTGTGTTACTCCAGCTGTGAGTGCATTGCTCCAGCTGTGAGTGCGTTGCTCCAGCTGTGCGTTGCTCTCTAACAGTGTGTTGCTCTCAAGCAGTGCATTGCTCTAGAGCTGTGTGCTGCTCAGATTGTGTTGCTCCAGCAGAGTGTGCGTTGCTCCAGCTGTGAGTGCATTGCTCCAGCTGTGAGTGTGTTGCTCTCGAACAGTGTGTTGTTCTTGAGCAGTGCATTGCTCTTGAGCTGTGTGTTGCTCTCGAACAGTGTGTTGCTCTCGAGCTGTGCGCTGCTCAGATTGTGTTGCTCCAGCAGAGTGTGCATTGCTCCAGCTGTGAGTGTGTTGCTCCAGCTGTGAGTGCATTGCTCCAGCTGTGAGTGCGTTGCTCCAGCTGTGCATTGCTCAATTTGCGCTGCTCCAGCAAAAATAAATTTGTTTGCATTGCAGCACTTGAGCAGTGTAAATTTCGAGTGCATTGGGGGTCAACGCAGTCGCATGAATTTCGAATTTGGCGGAGCGCAATTGTGCGTTGCCCGCAAGCAAGACACACCAGCTAGGGCTAGGGTATCACAAATCACACCAGAATCTGCAGTATGCTGGATTGTATGACATGTCCTGCAGAGATCAATGGCAAGGATGTTTGTATGTTAAAGACTAGGAGGGGAGGATGCCTGAGGTTGCCACCAGATGAGGTAGGGGCCCTACATGACATTAAAGTCAGCACCAGCAGGTGGGCACCAATGACAGGGAGTAATGAGAAGGGGGTGAGTCACCACTCAGATGAAGTGGGACTGGCCCCTGACAGAGATGAAGCAGCAAGAGGCCATCCATCCACAGAGGACAAGGGATGCAACACCCATGAGCAGCAATCTAGCATGGATGGGAAAACAGTGGGAAAGATGAGGAGGAGACATGGAGTCGAGGAGGCCTCACAGGACAGGAGCAGTGTTGCAGGCAACACTGCTAGGATGGTATATAACCATGCTCCTTGTCATAACAAGTGAGTGGATCCCCATCCACTCTACACCATACACAACTAGTTATCACTTCACATAAGTATACATTAGTTACAGTCAGCAAAGTTGCAATCAAGTAGATTGCTTCCATCATAGCACATGTGTTGTATCACCACTCACTGACATCTGAAGGCAGTTCATAGCAAACCAGCAGTCTGGATAATGATTAGAACTGAAGGCAGTCATCCACTGTGGTCTGGGGATCACCTCAAGCACTCAGTCAACACACTGGACACTTGTGTTGATGACAACAATCACAATCACATCAGACCTTGGTGTTAATACCAGTTCATAGTAGTTATTGATTGTGCTGAGCTACCTATGGATGGAGTGTCCACAGTGGTTAGTCAAAACCTGCAATAGCAAAACCATTACTGCATCTTCAGGCAAGAAAAGTAATAGAGATGTCTCTACTACATATCTCAGCAAGAATTGTAATACCTCAAGCATTGTTGCATATCTTGACAGGATTCATAATAGATGCATTTCTATTACAGATATCAGGTTTTGGGCACACAACCTTTGACATTTTTCATATAAGTATACTTAGTAGTCCATCAACAGTTGCAATCATAAGACATTGCTGTTGACACACTGGACACTTGTGTTGGCACCAACAACATCATTCACACCAGACCTTGGTGTTATCACATCATATCTACAGTTCCTGATTGTGCTGAGCCACCTCTGGACAGAGTGTCCACAGCAGTTAGTCAAAACCTGCAGTAACAACCAAGCTACCACAGATTTGAGCAAGTAAAGTCATAGAAGGCTTCTACAATAGATCTTGACAAGAATAATAATAAACAGCTGTTTACCACAGATCTTGATAGAATCAGTAGTAGTTCTAATTCTACTACAGATTTCAGGTTTCTGGTGTGTGACCTCTGACAAGATGATGGAGAAGAAGCAACGAGAGTGATGGGAGATGAGATGAGAAGGGGGTAGCAATATGAAGTGACACGACTCAGGTCACGTGCCTTCACCCACCATTGAGACGAGCGCACGTTCCATTCGCACGACTCCTTACTGTACGATCTGCAACAACTAGGATCTCGTCGCTGTATCGTTTCTTTTGCAATGTATACTCGACTTATATGTCAACCACCAGGCAAGTAACAACCGATATCCTGTCGTTGACCCTGACTCAAGCTTCGACGCAGCCTGGCGCCCCTCTCATGCTCATTGTCGATCTACGCGGCGATCGGAGTGGAGGCCAACGTCTACTTGTCAGCGGTACATTCAGGTCTGTAGTAGCTTTCATCTTGCCTGGCTCAAAGACCTCGTCATTGTTGGAGTCGGGATTCCAAGCACTGTGTACGTATTTTCTCGTGCTCGGCCGTATGCTCAATGTTGTCGGCAGATTGCATGTTAACACGAGTGAGACGGAGAAGAGCTCATGTTTCGCACAGTCTAAGACCTGTCAGCGCGGCACGAGCAGGCGTGTTTGTTTCATTGAAGTGAAGACAAAGCAGCCGGGCGCAGACACCGCCAGCGATCAAAGAATGTTGTGAGCGAGATCATGTATGTTGAATTTAATGCGAAGATGCGACAGAGAACCACTTTTTGACATCGACATGCTCATACCGGGATGGTCGTAAGAGTGACGCCGGCTCTCTCGATCACTTGCATGGACAAACGTGCGAGCCTGTCTTGCATGTCTTCGTCACGGCTCTTCTCCGGTCCGTCTTCAGGAATTGCTGGCGGACAGATAAAGTTGCCGCCCTTTGTCGGCTGGGTAGCGCAGTACATTGCCGAGACGCTTCCCTGGAAGATATCCTTCTTGATCGGATTGATCATGTTCATTCCGTAACCAAGGATAGGGAAAGGTTCGTGAATCCAAACTTCAGACTGTCTCGTCTCGACAATGCCGGGGTGACACGCATTGAAGATCACGTCGGTGTGGTCGCCTTCGAGGCTGTACTTGCGGTTCAGGTAGCGGATGAAGAGCAAGTTGGCGAGCTTCGAGCGACCGTACAGAGGCTGAGGACCAATGTCGGTCTTGAAGTCTTCCTCGGTGTCAAACTCGGTTTCCTTGGGGGTTTGAGCAGCGAGGTTGGAGCTGAGCGAGACAACACGTACTTTGGTCTGGAATTTTTGCGTCGTCTGTTGCAGCAATGGCAGGATAGCATCGATTAGAACGACGTGACCGAGATGGTTGATGGACATGTGAGAGTCGATACCGTGTCGATCAAGAGCATATTTCATGATGCCTTTGCCAGCGTTTGCGATGAAGATATCGAGGCGATCGGTCTCGTTGGTGATTTCGCGGCCGATTTGTTGAACGTGCTTCCAGTCCATCAGATCGCATCGCTTCCATACGATGCGACTGGCAGCATCTTGCGGTAGCTCTTCGTCTTTGTCGAAGGCGTCCTTGGCCTGTGAGATGATCTCTTCGGACATGGACATGACGAAAACTTTCGAAATGCCGGCTTTGAGCAGCGTGTGTGTGCATCCGAAGCCGATACCCTCGGAACCTAAGTGGAGCGGAAGCAAGCAATGCGCTTGTCAGTACATCAGCTCGTTGCTCTTCAAGGTCGAAGCAGAAAGACAAGTCTCAACTTACCACCAGTGACAAGGGCAACTTTGCCAGAGAGGTCGCCAACCTGTTCAAGCTCGAACTGATATTGAGTGTCGACGAGCTTGTGCGGGTCGCCAGAGAGCGTGGGAGCAACGCCGAGGTTTTCAGCGATCGTATGCTTGATAGACTCCATCTTCCTGATGCGTGTATGCAGATGACAAGCTGAACGAGTCGGAATGCGTTCTGTGTGAAGAGCAGGAAATATCCGATTGGTGTAGCCTCTGTGTGAGAGTTTGAGCTGGCGTGCCGTTGAGAGGCGAATTAAAGATCCCATCAACGTCGGTGCAAGTGGTGTGAACAGACGAAGGATGACATTTGGCTGAGTTCGAGCAGGCTATATATTGATCAGAAGGAGGCTGCAAACAGGCCAATCGTTGCACCGCTCTGCAACGGCGGGACAGCAGGTCTGTCGAGCGGGACACTAGTTACGATGCTTCGAACGTCAAAATGTTGCCCGAACAGGGATGCATCTCTGGTAACAAAATCGCTGCAGAGTCCTTCTAGCTTGTTCTCATGTCAGCCATCACTTTGCACAATCGGAACATAGCGTTCCGACGGACGGACTGAATTGTGCAGGTCAAACGAGCCGAGAAGAAAGATGAATCAGGATGATGTTGCTGAATCACAGAGACGAGTGAGAATAGGTGACGTTTCGCCCCCGCTGTCTAACGGTATCAGGCTTTACGTCAAGAATTGCGACAGCGGAACTCGGAATCGGAAACCCTAACCCTGAAGAATAAAGGCACCACTTGGTTGGGGCCATGATCAGGCTCCCTTCGTACAGGTGTGTAGCAACTACAATACTTGTATTACTTGAAAGAAAATGAGACTACATGTGTTACATGCGCAGGCTACATGCGCGTTGTAAGGGTGTAACGAAGTGGATTGCAGGAAGGAGGATCTAGAGGGAAGCTATGGTTAAGTACTAGCTTCTGTACAAAGCAAAGATAGGTATCGAACTTTCTTGTGCGGCATGTATTCGCACGAGAGAGTACCCAGGCGTGACAACATGAGTATATATATATATATATATACTTTGACACCACCTCTGAGCATTTCACGTGTCTGAATAAGCTCGGGTATAAGCGGTGTATGCTTTCACGAGCTTCGCCCTGTCGGCATCCCGGATAAACCCTGGAAATTCCGACGTATCTTCAACTGTAAATAATTACGAATAGCAAAAAATAAAAAAAATAAAAATGAAGGCTCAAGAAAGCGCTCAACAATGAGGGGTAGGGAAAGGTCTGGCTCGTCTCCACAGCAACACAGACAGGTATCAAACGACACAACGAAGTACTTGTGGAAGTAGCATTCAGCAAGTTTGGCATTGGTGATTGGATTCAGCGACAAGGCATCGGGAGAGATGGATCGAGATCAAGGAGAGCTATCAGAAGCGACTGAGGGACGCGGTCCGAAAAAGTTCGTTCACCTTTGGTCGCTGTTGACATGTATGGAGTCTTAAATTCTTTAGACGCTGTTGAGGCGCTTGAAGTGGAACCAAGCCGGGAAGCCGACAACGAACTGAGTCAAAGTCCACTGACCAGCGGTAACAAGATCGGCACCCCGGTAGAGAGTGTAGACGAGCATGGCGAGAGCCTCAGCAGCGTGGATGTTGAAGATGATACCGGCCCACTTGTCAAGGTTGGCTCGGCCACCAAAGAGATTGGCCAAGTCACGGTTTTGGCGACCAAAGTAGTAGGCAGCAATGCCGATGGCGGCCACAGTAGCGGGGCGCTGAGGAAGAGTGTATCGAATCTGAGCGGGCGGATGGATCGAGTCCAGAAATAGCAAGACGATGAACGACAGTCAGTTCGTGATCACTGAACGGAGGCTCATGAGCGGTTCTTCGAAGCTGTGCTTTGAAGGAGCCAAATACTTACAGGGAGCGACATGTTGTTGGATGTGATGAAAGCTAGACTGGTTGGAGATGATGGTGGTGGTGCGACAAAGGTCAAGATGCCAGGCGTTGGCGATTTTGTGTGCAGCTCGGCCTCCACACAAGTCCCGGATTGTAGACCAAAAATAGATGTGAATCCGGTACGACGTCACGCGGTCTTAGCCGGGTCTCACCTGCAGGGTCCAATCAATCGCCTCTGTGTCTGTCTCTCCGTTCTGCCCTCGCCCCTCCGCGCTTGTGCCACACTTTGAGCACGAGTGAGGAGGCGGTCACACAGCAGATCCAGGTTCATCCGTTCAGGCAAAGACACATCAATCTCTCAGCAATTGATGAAACCAATTCACAGACAGTTCGAAGAGACGAAGAACTTCGTTGCCATTGCAGAAAAGGATCGGAGAAAACAGAGAACGAGAATACTACCTTGAGGATGGACGGATTGCGACGATGAGTGGAGAAGTGAGTTGGCTGCGTGGCAGCTAGGCACTAGACAAAGCGGATTCTAGTACTTCCGACCTATTAGACTGTCGGAACAAACATCATGACCTCCTTGATGCTAGAAGAAGAACTCTGTGCATCGGCAGAGAGTCACTTCAGCTGCTGTCAACCTAGTTGCTGCCAAACTTGACAGCCCTGAGGCTGCCCGACTTGGCACCAGCCTGACCCAAAGCCGAGCCTTCGCTACTAGCGCCAGTTTGACCAGCACTAGTTTGACCAGCACTAGTTTGACCGGCGCCAGTTTTACCAGCACCAGTTTGACCAGCACCACCGAAGCTACCGCTAGCAGAGCCAGAAGCCTCGCTGTTGTAGGCAGTAGCACACTCATCCAGATCAGCATTGAATTTGGCGGCGAGAGCATTAGCAGCTTGCTTCTCATAAGCAGGGGCGAGCTTGATGAGCTGAGCACTGAAGGTGTGCGTCTCAGTCTGGAACTCCTTGACACTGCTCTGAGCAAGACTAAGGACACCAAGCTTCTTGAACTCCTCCTTGAGAGCGATCATGCGCTTGATGGCGGTCTTTACCTTGACTTCGGTACCGGAAAGGGTCTGGAGGATCTCCTTGGCTTCAGCATCGGTGGCGGTACCCGTGAACTCCGAGGCAGATTTACTGCCAGCCTTGATCGCGCCGATGACATCTTGCGAGCTTTGACGGACGGCAAGGCCGCTCAAGTAGTTGAGCGAGTTGACCTTGAGATGCTCGTTGAGCAACCCGACCTTGTTGTCGATATTGGCGACCTCTTGCTTGGTCTGAGCCACCGAGGAAGAGGCAGCGACCACCGAGGCGAGGACGAGGAGAGCAGCAGCAGAGATCGAGATAGTGAATTTCATCTTGCTCGCTTCGTGTTGTTGGGCCAAGGACTATTGTGGTGAGGAGTGGATGCTAGTTGAGTATAGTTGCTTTGTGCGAGTTGATTGGGTTGATGGACAGACGATCTCTCGTTGCTCGTTTCCGGCCTCCTATATACCTTTGAAGCTGCCCTCTGTATCGCTTGAAGATGTAAGGCGTATCAAGCTCAAGCAAAGCCAAGAAAATCCTCAGACTCTCTCGTCAGACAGAAACCATGTCGCAGCTGCAAGGCGTTGCACAGCATCGCTGTCTTACGTTCTGCAAGGTAAATCCGATAGGAGTATGCTTAGTTGTTCATAATCGTGCTTCGCTTTGGTCGTCGCATTTGGGCGGCAAGTTGCTCAATTAATGACAGCCTTGGCGCACACGACGAGGTGCGAGGCTCGTTCACGTTGTTAGTAGCTTCGTCGGGTGGGTCCATGCTCGAACACCATGATTGACACATGCTTGCTAGACACTACAAAAAAGGAAGGAGGTGTACAATCGCAGCGCGCTTTTGTCGGCGGTGGTGGCGTCAAGGGCCGTGCTTTCTGCTAGCACCATGTCATCGCCCCCCAGCGTGCATTTCGCTCGGCTCCATGAAGACGAGTGCACAGACGTCGATTGCTCTCGCCTGCGTCGGCTTATAGGCACAGACATGCGTCGCATAGATCGATTCATCAAAGCCTTGCTCCCTCTTCCGATTGAGCGTCTTTGGGACGTCGCAGGTTGCTTGAATTGCCAGCAATTCCGGACAGCCTTCATCTGTCCGTGGTAGGAGGCAAGGCGAGCCGGACTCGACAGCTTTGCGAAATAAAGTCTGTCAGAGCACGGCTTGTCTGATGTCTGGGAGAGGCTCAACTGAGGTGGAAGTCTGTTCGCAACAACCGCCTTGATCTCACCTTCGCTCGTTCCGCGTGATACATCTACGAACGCATCGAAAAAGCTTGAACAGTTCTCTGGTTTCTCGCTGCTAAGCTATGCACAGCCCTGTTCAAATTGCTATTCGCAGTGCTCACCAGGACTCGCACCGCTTGTCCCATTAAGCTCATCAAGTAGGACCGGCTCGGACATGACGCAGAGTCCTCTGACAAGCACCCGACAGGCTCTGCGAGCGACATGTACGATCTTTATGAGAGAATAGAAAGAGCCTTCTCTTCATCTCAGCGGTTTGAGCTGCTGCAGCATAATCAGTCACGTTCGAATGGCATCCTTGCGAAAGGGATGCGATGATAGAAAGCGAAGAATAGCGCACACATGCTGTGAAGCATTCGGACCATGATGGCAAAGGGTTCTGTCGTCACACAGGCAGAATTGAGAGCATCGAAAGCAACAATATAGTTATGATTTCAAATGCTCTGGATGGCGAGAGTCCTTTCAAGGGTGATGCGTTTGCCCGTCGAAGTATCTTTGCCAAACAGCTCCCATGCATGAGGAAGGCCCTTGTACAGGTTCAAGTCGACTTGGACACCAGCCTTGTGCAGTCTGTGAGCATAATTGAGATCCTCTTCCACGAAAATGTCGAGCTGACCGACGTCGATGTAGGTATCTGGGAGCCCAGAGAGATCCCGTACCCTTGCGGGAACAGCATACTTGACCAGCTCCTTGACCTTGTCAGTGCCAGCGACGCCTTTGCCCAGCAAAGCTGACCACCCAGTCACGTTGGCATCGTAGGTCCACAAGGCAGTTGGCGCCAGTCGCTCGTCGGGAACGAGGTTGCGATCGTCAAGCATCGGGTAGATGAGGATCTGCTTGCGTAGCGGAGGTGTGAGGCCAGCATCGCGGGCTTGCAGAGCCACACCGGCGGCAAGGCCACCTCCGGCCGCCTCGCCCATGACACCGATGCGTGTGTTGTCAATCCCGAGCGAGGCTGCATTGGTTGAGAGCCATTTCAGCGCATCGTAGCAGTCGTTGACGAGCCCGTCCAACTGATGCTCGGGCGCGAGTCGATATTCGACGGTGAAGAAGTCGATGCCACTCTCTTGCGCATTCATTGGAACGATGCCCGACTTGACGAACATATCAGCCGAGCTCGATACCATCCCGCCTCCATGGATGTGAAGCACTGCAGCTCCGTTCTCCTTTCTCTGCTTGGGCGATACCTGGATGACGTCAATGTTTGCACCGTCTCGCGCCTGAATTGTGTGCTTTGTGCTGGTCACCTCGAACTCAGAAGCAGAGTGAGCGATAGCGCCGAGAATGCCGTCAAAGCTGGCTCGGAGTCCTTCGACATCGTGAACAGCTGGCTTCGGTTGATGTGCTGCCGCAGCCAGCATTGGACCTGCTGCCTGCAGGAACTCGGGGTCCAAAGCGAATGAATGTGAGTTGAAGATGCACCGGCATCGCCAACGCGTGATGCATTAAATGGGAGTTCACAGGATCGGGAAATCGGGAAGGTATCAGGCGATGAAGAGGACGAGCAGAATGCGAAGCTAGTGGGAGCTAATGCAGCGTATGCACGAGGATTAACGCCATGGTATGCAGGGGATGTGTTGACATGACAACACTCATAAAAGAAGATACGTGGCACATGGGCATGACTCGACATAGAGAGCACAGTCAAGTGGTTAGAACATGTATATATGCCCTTAGCTCAGTCGTTACCTCTTTATGACAATACAAGCCTTTTTACATAGAACATCAGATAAAGGAGTGCCTGACCGTGGTCTCCTAGTGGTGTATCTAAATTCAACTGGCTCCCAACGTGGGGCTCGAACCCACGACATTCATCAGATATGGCGGGAGATAACGATCGCCAAGCCAGCACGGGTGAAGTAGCCAAGAGGACAAGAAAAGGTAAAACGCCACAACGAGTACAAATTGACGAAGAGGTCACCGACGGTAACGAAACCGAGTATTTTGACAATGAGGATGAAGGAGGATCCGAATCGGACGACGATAGCGACCGATACGATTACCGCACCCTGGCCAAAATCTTGGAGACGGTTCCAAAGCTCACGTCACGCAACTATTACAGTTGGAGCACACTCATCAAGGCCAACCTTCGAGTAGTCCCTCATGCCATACGACACTTAGAGGGCACGTACGATAGAAACCACCCGAAATGGAACAGAACTTTTGACAACGCCCTAGTGGGTGTCCTACGAAGCACCTTAGACACCGAAGGAGAGTACAACGTTCTTTACCTCCTACTCGACATCAGCAAGAACCACCTGACCTGCCATCAAGCCTGGAAGAAGATCGAAAGGAGCCTCACCAGTGAAGTAGCTAGAACCTCGCGACGGATAGCATTACTTGCCGAGCTCAATGAGACAAAAATGTTTCATGCTGACGCCCGTAAGCTAATCCAAGAGATCAGGGTCCTACAGACGGAAACTAGCCTTCTAGGTGCTCCATTTAGTAACGATGCACTATACTCCGCGCTCCAGAGATGCACGATTCGACACCCAGTCTACAAGGAAACAGTCGCCACGGTTCACCAGGTCAGCTTCGATGCCCTAGCAACGGCGTTGACTACACGCCAGTCTGCAATGGAGAGTGTACCCGGCCAGAAAGTGGACCCACGTCAAGCAAGTGCTAGAACGGCTGTGGGAAGCGAAGAACAGGCCGAGGACACTGAGTCGGACACGGGCAGCACAAAAACCAAGTCAAAGAGAATTCGTTGCTGGGTATGCAAGCGCTACGGACACGGCGCCAGCAAATGCGATGCTTCTGTCGCCATCCCCGAAAATTCCCCCCTCACCAAGACCAACTAGGAGGTCTGGTGCTCTTTCACCCCGAGTTGGTGGCAGCTCCCAAAACCAGAAGGAACCACACGTTGGATCTTGGATTCGGGAGCGAGCTACCACATGGTTAATGACCACAGCATGCTCATCCACCCAAGAAATTGCAGAAAGCGCGTGTATACCGCTGGAAGCGAAGTACTGGAAGCAACTGCTGTGGGAGATACCAACATAGCGACAGAACATGGAGACGTTTATCTCCAAAATGTGTTGTATGTTAGAAAACTCAATATTAACCTGTTGTCAACCAACTCACTCACAGATGAAGGAGCACGTGTGACTTTAGACCCCACAGGCGGGCAAATACACCTAGCAAATGGCATGCTATTGAAAATAGCGAAAGATCGTGAGCGTGGACTATTAGAGTTCCGAGGCGACACATGGCGACAAAGCGCGATGACTACATCAACACCGCTGTTTGAAGGGGTTGATGAAGAGTTCGAGCTGGCCGATCGGAGACCAAAGATCTCCACAAGACAGCTCTGGCATGAACGTCTAGGACATCCAGGTCGAGACAAGTCCAGAGCAATTGTAGATAAATTGAAAGGCGAACCTGTAGCAGCATTGGACCCAGATACAGCTCTGATATGTGAGCAGTGTATACGGTCCAAAAGTACGGCCGCCCGGATGGGGCGAGGCAGCGGCGAAACAGCCGCGGGGCCCCTAGATCTCATCCACATCGATCTGATCATAGACTCATCCCGCGTGACAGAATACACGTGCACATTGGTGCTTGTCGACGACCATAGCAAGTATGTGCACGCACAGCCACTCTTACGAAAGAGTCACGCATTCACGCAACTCAAAAGAATAGTTTCGTTCCTAGAGACACAGACGGGCAGAAAGCTGAAAGCAATCCGATCTGATCAAGGAACTGAGTGGAAGAGCAACGAAGCATTGGAATGGTCATTAGAAAAGGGCATAGAGTGGCAAACCACTGTCGGTTACAACAGCAGACAAAACGGACGAGTAGAACGGATGAATAGGAGCCTGGGTGAGAAAATGCGAACGCTGTTGATGCAAAGGAGTTTACCAAAGAGATTTTGGCCGCACGCCATACGAGCGGCGGCATTCAAAATCAATCTTACTCCCAACGTTGACGGAGAGTTTCCATATCAGCTCATGTTCAAGAGATCACCAAAACGATTCGTCAGTCTCATGCGTGTATTTGGATGCTTAGCTTGGGTAAATATTCCAAAAGCTAAGCGAAACAACAAGAAGCTGGACCAACGAGCGGTTGCAGCCGTATTCATAGGGTACAGCTTAGAAAGAAAGGGATGGCTATTCTATAGCCCTGATTACTCTCCGAACGTTTTCTGGAGCAACTCGGCAAGGTTCATGGAGACACAGTGCTGGTCAGACCGATCAGAATGGCGGCCAATAAGTATCCGACCTCCACCAGTCCCAACTATTGAAGAGGACATCAATGATCTGGGATACACAGAGGAGAACCTATTTGATGAGAGGGAGCAAGAGCCTTTGGAAGAGCACGTGGACATGGAACTAACTCTCGAAGAGGAAGGACTCGGAGGACCACATTGTGACGATGAGAACTCTAACGGGATACCAGAGGAAAGGAGAACGACGAATGAGAGGGAAGAGTATGCACCGGTGCCACCCGAGGAGAGAGGCCCATGGCCGAACTGGAGGCCAGCTAGAGACATGCGCAACCCGGAGACCTGGGTAAAGAAGAGTTACTTCGGGTTGACGGCGGCTAAGGTCAAGGAAGGAAAGGACAGCCTGAACCCAACTGTCCACGAAGCGCTGGCCGGAAAGGATAGGAGGTTCTGGGAAGAGGCAATGCGCAAGGAACTGGATGGGCTTGAAGCGATGGGAACGTGGGAAACGACTGACCTACCGCGGGGTGTGAACACAGTCGACACACGATGGGTACTCAAAATCAAGACTGATGCAAACCTCATCCCCACAAAGTACAAAGCAAGATTGGTAGCGCGAGGGTTTACACAAAGAGAGGGCTTAGACTACACAGAGATATTTGCGCCAGTGGCACCCATCCAGGCAATAAGGGGAGTGCTGGCCATCGCAGCCGTACGGGACTGGGAGGTTGATTCCATCGATGTCAAACAGGCTTACCTCAATTCGAGCCTACGTCATGATGTTTACCTAAAGCCACCGGTAGGAACTAAGGTACCTCCAGGAAAGGTATTGAAACTCATAAAAGGGCTCTATGGTCTAAAACAATCAGGTCGGGAATGGAATATCGAGCTAGATACCCACCTCCGAAGTATCGGCTTCCACTGCATGCCGAGCGCCCCATGCCTTTACTCAAGAGGAGCGGGCGACCAACTCACAGTCATTACGGCATATGTGGATGACATGCTGATAGCATCGCCGTGCAGGAAAGAAGTCGACCGTACCAAAGCCGAGATAATGGACAAGTGGGGAACAGAGGACAACGGACCTGTAGGAGAATTCCTAGGAATCAAAATCACTCGAGAGAGGAGACAAGGCAGGATCACACTCGACTTAAGCGCATACATTAAAGGCATGGTAAGTAAGTGGCTAGAGAGAACAAGTGAACGAACTTGGATACCGATGCAGAGTGTAGCAGGAGTCGCTGGAGGAAACAAGTGCAACCCAGATCAGGCCAAACGATACCAAGAGTTAGTGGGGCAACTTTTGTGGGTATCCAACACAGTGAGGCCAGACATTTCGTTCGCAGTAGGCGCTTTGGCACGATACATGTCAGAACCGATCGACAGTGCTTGGAGTGCTGCGATACACTTGTTAAAGTATCTGAATCAGACCAGCGAATACCGCTTAAGTTTAGGGGGAGCACACAGGAGTCACGCGGACCAACCGGTGGTTACGTATACCGACGCAAATTGGGCTTCTGACCCTACAAATGGGCGTAGGAGTACGTCCGGAGCGATCACATATGTGTATGGATGTCCGGTTAGTTGGAAATCACATGTGCAGAAGTGCGTGGCATTATTGGCAGTGGAAGCAGAACTGGTCGCAGCCTCCGAAGCAGCAAGAGAAGCACTCTTCTTCTCACATTTGCTCAGGGATCTAGGAGTATCCGGAGTTAAGCCAATACTGCGCACCGATAGCCAAGGGTGCATACAGGTCAGTAAAGATCCGGCCAAACACTGGAAGCTCAAACACATCGATACCAGATATTACTTTGTTAGGGATCATGTGCAAGATGGTGACATATCAATCGAGTTCGTCGGAACGGCCAACAATGTCGCTGACATACTCACGAAACCTCTCAAGGGACTCCACACGACAAGGATATCAAGAATGATAGGATTGGACATGCCGTTGAGGGGGGGAGTTGAAGATGCACCGGCATCGCCAACGCGTGATGCATTAAATGGGAGTTCACAGGATCGGGAAATCGGGAAGGTATCAGGCGATGAAGAGGACGAGCAGAATGCGAAGCTAGTGGGAGCTAATGCAGCGTATGCACGAGGATTAACGCCATGGTATGCAGGGGATGTGTTGACATGACAACACTCATAAAAGAAGATACGTGGCACATGGGCATGACTCGACATAGAGAGCACAGTCAAGTGGTTAGAACATGTATATATGCCCTTAGCTCAGTCGTTACCTCTTTATGACAATACAAGCCTTTTTACATAGAACATCAGATAAAGGAGTGCCTGACCGTGGTCTCCTAGTGGTGTATCTAAATTCAACTATGTGACTGCGACATCTTGAGCTGTTGTGCTGGTCGTCTACTTTGTCGGTGTTGCTTCAATGTTGATCGGCTCTGCTTACAATTGCGGATTCGTCTAAGAGGTAGGAGGAGTGAGCGGCAAAAGCGAAGGGCCAATCTCGTTAAGTGAACATGGGTCCTTGGACCCTGCCACACGTACTTACGGTCAAGCTTTGCGGAGACGGAAGACTGGTCTGTGCTCCACGCTGTAGTATGGAAAGCCGAACGACCTTATTGAAAGCAGACGCTCGGCAGCAGGATGTCGTACCACTCTTGTTTGCTGTGCACTTGGCACCTTACGGAAGTCTTGTTCCGACCTTCCTTTTCCCCGCAAAAGCTCGCACTAGCGTACATCATGCACGTCCTTCTCGAAGCTGCAGCCTTTCAGACTCCGTCACTGCAAGCGCTTCGAAACTCTCCAAGGAGACCGGCTTTTGCACACGGGACTTCCAGCGAAGCTGTCACACAACACAAGCTTGAAGATCTAGGCGTGGTAATCACGTGACTTCTGTCGAGCCTGCGAGCACACTCACGCTCATCCCGCAATCTTAACCTGCGCCTTTTATGCTCTCCTATTGTCTTCGCTATGGTATGAATTGATGGTTCGGACATCAAAACTTGCGCTGGCCCTGTGCCGGATTAAAAACCATGTTTGTCGCTTTATCCTTCCGCTCTTTATCTACAGCCTGATTTGCTGGCGTCGACTCTAACTTCAACGCCTGCACAGTCTCTTCCATTTCGAATCTGCTCCATCCAAAACCATCAACCATTGAACTCAGCATCCATACCAACTCCAACTTCGTCAGTGAACCCACTGCCTCTTGAGAGCGGGTGTCTTGTTGCAGCTCAGCATAGAGATTTTGTAGTTCGTTGGCATCGAAAGCCGACTTTGAGTCCTTGATCTTGTCCTCAGAGATCGTAGTGGAGCTGTGGTGCTTTTCATTCTCTCGTGCGATGCTGTCACTGCTTTTCAGTGCAGAAGACGACGCAGCTTTCGACGCTAGAGAAGCAAGGAAGACAAGGTCTGTGTGTTGATGTGCTGTCAATCTCAAGGCATGTGAAAGGCTCTGAGATCGTTGCAGGTCAAGTTCCTTTGCAGCGGTCCTCTCCCCAGCGCCGCCATTGGTAGCAGGAACAAACCAAAACTCGTGGAACCTGACAAACTTCCTCGCTCTTTCTCTTCCGCCTTCCGAAGGAGTTTGATGCTCAACCATGCCGTCTTGTGCGCCGACGTTGTTGTTCCCCAGGTCAGTGTACCACATCTTGGCGTTTCGAAAGTCACCTTCGAGTTTGTGCAGGATCGCGTGCAGCCAGTCCAAGTATCGACTTCCCCCTTGTGCTTTTCTCACCAGAAAGTGAGCCGAGTATAGATCGCCCTTGTTTTTCGGTGAAAAGAACCATCATTTCATCAGCCTTCCGTGATCGCTCGTCGCTGGCTATCCACACAACTTACATTGATCAAGTGCAGACATGCTTCCATTGCCGGATGGAGCGATGCATCCGCAATGACTCCTTGAAGGTCAGCATGGTTTGGTCGCTTGTGTGGCACAGCTTCCAGAGAAAGCGCTGGAACGCTGTTCAAAAGTCTTCCCAGCCATTGCGGCGGACAGACATTGTTCGTTTGACCGGCATGAGAAGCCAGCAGAAGAGTCTCCTTGATCTCTTCCAGCCTTTGTGCCATGCTGGGTAGCACCATTCGACGTTTGAGGCGGGGATGGTTCAGTAAAGTGCTGGTCTGCGGCGAAGATGCAATCTAAGTCCCGGTTCGATGGCCGTGCCCGTCCTAGCTAATCATGTCTGAATATCCATTGTGGAGGGGCGCTGCGAAATCCAGCTACACTCTTTGGCGAGATGGTTTGTCATGACGGAGTTTCGGCATTCTAGGTCCGAAACATATTGTCAACGATTGGCAGCCTTGGCTACATATATCTCTGGGAAACTCGTGCGTTGACGAGATTGTCTGTCACACCCAGCGCTTCTCTTTGATCTTGGCTGAGCACGATGTCGCATCTCAATTACACCACGTATGCCGGCCACGGCGAATACGCACAGAAGGGGTACAGCTATTCTCAAGGCGTTAAGATCTCTCAATGCTGGTGACCAGGGGCCCGTCAGGTCCATCGGCGTGCAGAGCGTGACAATTGATCAGAAGGACGACATACACCACGGTTGGCTCCAACAGAATGTTGGTCGGTTGCCTGAGTGCTCGCATACTCACCGAGACTGGATCGCAACTTTTGTCGAAAGATGGGGGCTTCGTAGCCGACCGTGTTCGGAAGCGGTACCTCAAGTTCGCAATGAAGCGCATCCACAGTCTCACTCCCAAACGCTCTTTCGCACACTCTCAGGGACACACATCTGATGACGACACCTCCGCATAGACAAAGGAACATCCATTTCTCGAAACAACGTGACAGATATAAGGCTACAAGTTACAAGGGAAGGGGTATTCAGGGTTGGACGCCTGTGTTCGTCGTACAGATAAGGGTTCTGTAGAGAAGAGAGGTAACATGATACGAGCAGGTAAAGCGATAGAAAAGGCAAGGATCGAATTGCTTGAGACAGGCTTTGCATCTCCTTCTCGCTGCTACCGGAAGACTGGCGATCGAGACGGCGTCCTGGCATCAAGTGACAGGAAAGATGATAGCCATTCAAGCGTAAAAGCTTCATTGCTTCATGCGACAGCGAGATAGGCAGCAACGCCGACTTGCCGAGACGAAAGACAGCCATAGGCAAGGCGGTCCGGTACCATTTGAGCTGAGACCGCAGTACGTATCTGGAAATCGATTCTAGTTGCATGAATGTTGATGGTGTACAAGGAGAATGACGAGATGATCGATCTTCACCACTTACATCCGAGCTGTACGACAATAAGTCGCATCAAGAGCGATAAGAAGCACCGGGAGAGATAAAGACAGATAGATTGGGAGATAAGCATCGCGAGTCAGTACCAGTTGGGTCTAGGGCGAAAGAGACACTTACCTTTTGCTGGACGCAGGCTTTGAAAGCGAGAAACTCCTTCTGGCACATGTTGCGTTCGATGTTCTCGTAGTTGGTCGCGACGCATGCACCGTATACGCGAGCCTATAATGGTCGAAGACGATGAAAGATAGCATGTCTCAGCATCGAACAAAAGCCAAGTCACTGCAAGGAAGATGTCGTTGATCTTGGTCACCCTTTCGCAAAAGTTGACTTACCTCTGCCGAACACTTTGCAGCCGCCTTAGCAAAGGTCTGTACGGGTGCTACATCCCTCGGCTTGATCATGCTGGGCCTCATGACCGCTGTCGGTGTGAACTTCCAGGATAGGGTGGTAATGGTTGGACGATCCGATGGCAATCCTCTGATGAACAAACAAAAAAGAGGGTGGAGGTCTTGCCTGCTGCAGCCATAAGCAAGGTGAATCGGGCTTTTCGATTCGTGGAAATCGCCGATCTCAGAGAAGGGCGTCACGGCCGGGACACGAGACGAGTGTTGCGGGTCAACCTTGAGCTGCAGCTTTCGGAAAAACAAGAAAGAATTGCGAACAGCCGCGAAGGATGGGTCAAGGGTCCCAACCTCGCGTGGCTGTCGAAACACACAGTCGGGACCTTGGTTTGTTTGCCTTTTCTTCCGTCTTGGAACGGAGAGCCATGTATGCTACGAACAACACGTTGTTGAGCCAGGTAGCAGCTAACAATGAGCTTGATTTGCGGCATCTTTCGTTCGCTAAAAGCGCCATAGAACGACGACGAGCGCTATTCCACGGACTCCGACATTGAAAGATGGATGGGGAGGATGCATCAGCGGACGGCTTGGTAAATGGTTTATGATTCGAGTGGTCCTTGAAAGGGCTAGACTTGATGTAATCGTGTCTGTGGCCCTCGCTCGCTCTTTGCGTTCGATGGAAAGGGAAAGACGCAATGCACACAGTAGGGAATTTAACTATGGACTGACAGAAGAGGCCGTGGCAGGCACAGCTTAGCGAAGCAACCTCCCGGAAAAAGTAAGATTCGATATGTATGGCGAGCCCGACACGAACACACGAACACGAGGAAGAGTGTAGAGTATCCTTGTGACAAGTGACTGCTGCTCCAGAGGAGGACAAGCGGTGCGGTTGAGAGAGCTGCTTCCCCGCCCTCCTCTTTGTGCTCCTCAACGTGGCGCCGGACAAGCCAGCATCTTTCTTTGTTACCTTCTCATCTTCCACCTTCTCGTTATCATCTTACTTTCTAACATCGCACCTGCTCGCGTTTGTTTCTCAAGCATCGGACACGACCCAGCGGTACCAAGCCTCGAGCAAGACGACTTGTCATCATGAAGACAGCAGAACTGTTTGCAGAGGTCGCTGACCCTTATCTGCGTCATTGTCTCAAGATCGTCCAGACAACGCTCACCAACTTTATCTACATCGGATCAGGCGCAAAGATCGCCTATCGCTGGCTCAATGTCCAACCCGACGCTTTCCATCAGATTGCTTGCGAAGCAGGATCGTCGCCCTCGTCAGCATCATCCTCGGCCCACTTTGCTCCACCAACCAAACGCTCCGAGGTTCCTTTGCTGCTTCACTGTGACTTCCGTGCGGGCATGGACATGTGGGATCCACTCTTCCTCGCTCATCTCCTCAAATCTCGGCCAGTTGTCATCTTTGATCCGTGTCACTGCGGACGCTCCGTCTCCAACCGCGACACTCGGCCCTACATGGGCTCTTTCTACAAATGGGCAAAACATGCTGTCGCTGTCGCTAACTCGCTCGGCATGTCTGAATACGACATCCTTGGATTTGCCATGGGTGGTGCTGCTGCTCTTCTTGCGGCGCTTTATCCTACTCCTTCCACCACACGTGTCCGCAAGATCGTCGCAGCAGCGACCACAGGCCCTGCCATCTCTGCACGTCTCTACGAAGAATGCTCTCGAAGCTCCATGTCCATTGCATGGCCTCGCGACGATTGGAACCTCATGAATGCCTCACGGCTCTCCCTAAACGATGGAACCAAGCCCGAGGAAGTCAAGCAAGCACTCAAACACACCTTCTTCACTGAGTCCGCCTCCGGTCAGCAAGCCCTGGAAGAGCATTGGGACCGCGTCAACAGATTCGCCGAGTATCGCTCCAAATTGCCTTCAGAAGCTCCTTTCATCGGTCTGTTGGAAGATCGTCGAGAGCTTGGCCCACTCCGATGCCAACGACTCGCCTGGAGAAGCTGGGAGACGCTCCCGCAGCAGCGTGGCGGTACCTACATTGACCCGATGGCCAAGATCAACGTGCCTGTCCTCGTCATGAACGGCATCAACAACTCGCTCATCCCCGCCAGCAGAAGTTGGGAGCTCATGTGCAGGCTACCCAAACCTTCTCTGAACCTCTACGAGGACTCAGGAGCAGGCTTCATCTCGCAATATCCCGAACGTGTGGCCAAAGATATCAACTACTTCCTCGACTATGACCACTCCAACTTGCAGCCACAGATCTTGCCCTCTGCTTCCCTTCCTCAGGCTACACCCCCGGTTCCCTCTGCGACGTCGCACCCACCCTTTGCGTTCGGACAGGTACCGCCTCCTGCCCTGGCACAACATGCCCAACCGCCACCACAGAGTCGCTTTCCCGGCGTGCCTAATATCTCGCACTCTTACTTTGCAAGCAACCCCACGGGGCATCAGCAGATACATCAGTCTTACTTGCACCTCCCTCCCAACTTTCACTCACAAGAGAAGGAGCGCGTGCAGAGGCTGTCCAAGCTCTGATCATGTTCACACGCTCATTCGTACCTACACCTACGAACAAGTGCCTCTCGTTTTTGTGCGTTTTTCTTTTCATCACTTCAGGATTTTCATTGTCATGCAATGTTTCAACATCGCCGAGCGTGAACAAGGTGCAAATTTTGAGTCTTGATTGCCGTGCAGATACCGTTATACAAGGGTGGCAGACTGAATGAAGTGATTGAATGCATCAGGTCCTCCTTTCTCTAAAGAGAGGCCAAAGCGGAAAGACCCATTCTACGGTGAATTTACCTTGTTCGGGACAAGTCTTGGAAAGCGCTCTCGATGCAATTCTTGATCTCTCGGTAGCTGACCACCAGACAACTGTGTTCGTCCCTTGATGTCAGCATTATCTTCTCATCCGTTCCCGCATCTAGCTTGTTCAAGTTGGTGAGAATATGGCTGAGGTCCACGACGGGTCGTCCTGCTTCGTCGACCGAGTGGAAGACATGATCGCGGAAAAGCTTGATCACGTATCGATCGCCTGTCTCGGCCCATCGAGGATCGTGGTCGAACTCGGGTCGTTCGTTGATAAATCCAAATTTGCAAAGCAACCGCACGAGCCTTGCATTCTCCAGTTCCTTCATCAACGAGTTTTCCATCAAGTCAGTGTAGTTGAGTGCAGAATCCATCTCGTCGGAACAGTGAATACCGAGCGTCTTGACTAGCTCATTGACTGTTCGAGGTACTTGGCTCGTTTCCTCGTTTGCGTCGCGAGGAGCAGGAGATTGACCGACCAACCAAGCCACGACGTTCTTGAGCTCAGCCGAATAGCGGCCGGCAAACATGGCAAGGCTGGCTGCAATGTCGTTGGTGGCAGAGATGCTATTGAGGCCAATCCCGACGATGAGCGCACCGAGGTTGACCAGATCTTCGAGCTGCTGTGCCTTCAACGCCTCGGAGCCAGACTCATCCGGGTTGTAGGCGATGACGTCGAAGACGGAACAGCAATTGATGCGAACGCGATTCTTGCCTGTGCGTAGCACTTTGCTTGCTTCGATACATCGAGCTGCCAGGTTGCTCGAGTGGATCGATCGCAAAGCCGACGTCAGCTGGCAGAGATAGCTCCACAATGTACGTTCTGGCACCTGCATAGAGACGGGCTGCAGTCGTCCAGTCCGACGGTCGGGTTGGGCTGCCTTGATCGTCATGTGCTCCGCATAAAGTGTCGTCGACAATGGATGGTAATCATAGACAAAGACGATCGACTGGTCGCCGAAGGCGCGCGTTGTGAAAGCTTCACGTACGCTGACAATGCTGGGATGGCGGATGCGACGCCATCGCTCTACCAATCCAATGGCGGCCTCGTGCTGAAGACGGAAACCTTCGAGCCTGCGGAGTACGTATCGCTTTCCATCGAGTGTGCAAGTGGCTTTGTACGAGTGACTCCGGTATCCGAACACCTTGCTGTGATCACCTGATGCACCTGTCGCTCCGTTGGCACCCGGCGCACCCATCCGAGGATCGATGAGACCAGGAGGCATACCCATGGTAGAGGGTGCACCTGGACCTGGATGCTCGAGAGGTACGAGGGAGTGGTAGACATGCAGCTCCTCAGGAAGATTGGGGCCTCCGAGTTCGGGAGGAGGGACACTGGCCAACATTGCCTCTTGCTTGCGCTGAAGCTCTTCACGCTGGTTTGGGTTGAGGAAGAAGGCGTTGGCAGTGAGGTGATGAGGGTGCAAGTTGGAGACGTGAGGGAGAGGTGGTGCATAGAGGTGGTAGTGAAGCGGTTGACGGATCTTGGCGGCGCCATTAGCTGCCGCGGAGTAGTAGTCCATACCTCCACCAAGCCCGAGTCCGGGCGGACCCGGAGGTGGGTTGGGATCACCAAACTCGTTCATGTGCTCGTAAGGATTGTACGGACGAGCTGCCTGTGCCAGAAGCGAAGGAGGAGCACTACCGGACGGAGTCGACGAGCCCATGTGAGTGTCATGCGACAAGCCTGCTCCGGATCCAGATTGATGTGGGTCGAAAGAGCTGTGGATAGGATCGACGTCATAGTTGGCGGTGTACATGTTGGGCGTGGCTGGACCGTTCTGTGTGAAGCCGGCTGGTGTAAACTCTTTGCTGGTGCTACTGTTAGATGAGTGGACCCTGATCTCGTTGACGTCGTTTGTGAGGTTGTCGAGACCTGATCTTGGAGTTGGAGCTATGGATGCAGCGGAGAGGGATGGAGATGAGCTACCGTTTGTCTTTGGCACAAAGACGGCAGCTGCAACGTTGCGAGCACTAAGTGCGCCTTTGAAGGGACTGGAGGGGGCATTGACGCCGCCTCGAGACTTTGCCGGCGAGTTGAGAGGAGAAGCTGAAGTAGCCGAGAGACCGGAAGAGAACTGAGCTACGGGTGACTTTGGTGTCTGTGCGGACGAGTGGGCATCGGTGGCGGAGCTTTCAGAGGCTTCCGAGTGGTCGAAAGAGCAGCCGTCGTTTTGGTACTTGCAGTGACCGTAGATAGCTACATTGCGACATGGTTTTCGCGACTTTGCACCGGCATTGGCGAATACAGGAGACTTGGATGCGTCTGGTTGCTGCTGCGATTGTGTGCCGGCTGCAGTTGCCGCTCCGTAGGTAATGCCAGGCTTAGGGCTAGCGCCAGGAGGTGGAGTAGAGGCAGGTGCTATGATGGGAATCGCAGAGCTGCGCGTTGACGGTCTAGGTGGCAGTGCACCGTTGAATGACGGCTGCTGCTGTTGCGCGTGATGATGATTCTGCATATCGGATCGGTTGGAAGGAGGGAGTGGTTGTTGAGCGTAGGGCGGATGTTGTTGCGGTTGTGGGTGAGCGTGATGCGGGGGTGGATGCTGAGGATGGCGGGCGTGATTGAGATGGTGACGTTGAGGCCCAGGAGCAGGGGGCTGTTGGTGATGATGTTGGTGCTGGTGCTGGTGCAGATGTTGTTGCTGCTGTGGTTGTTGCGGGTGCTTATGTTGCTGATGGTAGGGCTGCTGCTGGGAGTGAGAGTAGTGATACATTGCTAACGATCGACATTTATCCAGCTGCTGTACGTCAAAAAGCGTAGGAAGAGAGGATGATTGAGAAAGAAGGGATGGTAAGACAGACTGCGGTCAAGATGGACTGTGACTAGGAAGAGTCGAGACGGTGGATATGTTAGACTCACTTGCACGACTCCACATCACACTGCAAAAGCAAGAGGAAGTCAAGCTTTTGCAGATGTCGTGTTCGAGGGTGTCAGATCCGAGACGAGCTAGGGCGTCGAGCCCGAAGCAAAAGGAGCGTGCTGGTAGGGAATGAGTTGCAAGAAAGTTGCGATGGCGGTGAAGGTGGTAGCGTCAAACTGAATGCACACTCCAGTGTCGATGCTAGTGCTGTAGCAAGAAAGAAAGAAAAAAAGCCTCGACTCGAATATCACGGGAGACCACTTCTTTGACTACTGTCACTCTCGGCCTTAGCTCGATAACCGCCACGGAGCCAGCACTGAAACTCTTGTTCAACTGCAAGAGCGCGTTGTGGTGTGCATTTCATTCATCCGTCGTGAATCCATGCAGAAAAGGGAGAGAGGAAAGACCGACTGAATCGCTCGTTCGCTCGCTCAACTGCCGACAAAAGTTGAATTTCTCCTTTTTTCATGATTTTCGGCACTCGGCCAGCCTAAGCTCTTCTCCTCACTTGGGTAAAAGTGGCGCGAGCTGCTCAGCAGCCACTGTGGCTACACTTTAAAGCTTGAGTTTGCTTGATGCTTTTGATGCCACTTCACTTGGCAGAGATGCTGTTCAAAGGGCAAGCGCGGATCACAAGCTCTTGGGTGTGACTGTCGAACACGAACAAGTGTTGAACCCTTTCAAGACAGCTTGAGCGTCTGCAAAAAATAAAGGTGGCGCGCGCTGTTGCAAGACTCTTCAAGATCTCTTTCGGCCTGAACATCATCTCGCCTCGCAACACCAACCATTCCTCGTCGTCGTCATAGCCTCAAAGGCCCCGTGATCGTGATATTCAAGACTCTCATCACTCGTTCGGTATCTCCGCTTCCGCGTCCTGCCATCGAAGATTGCAATCACGCAAGAGCTCTTTCATGCTCCCGTGCCAATTCGGCTCTTCCGCTTCATCGCAGTCAGGATCGAACTCTCGTCGGCACTTCCGTCCCTAGACTATGACTCGGTTGCTCGGCATTTCATGATTGCTTTCAGCATCCGTGAGCAGTGAAACCCTGCGATCCTACTGTACTCTACTGTACCACACCAACAGGTCGAACTCGGCAGTTGTTGCAGATTGACTGCCGTCAACCTTGGTCAAAGGCTTCAATAACAGGGCACAGCAACACTTCATAGGCACAGCAACCGCTGTTTACCGCCTCAGCTATGGATTCACCAGCAGATTCAGTCGACACTGCAGCCAATCGGCCCAGCACTTCTACCCTCAAGGAAGACGCATCTCCACATTCTTCAGCATCCCTGTCACCGCCATCAACGCATCCGCCGCCGCCGCCTGCTTTCACCCCGTCTCCATCTCCGCCACATCGGCCCACTTCATCCAGCTACAATGCCTTCGACAAGGTTGCAAGTCCGTCCCCCTCGCCGCGTTCTCCAGCCTCGCCCTCAGAACTAGACCCGACACGTTCCTCGTCGTCCCGCACATCTTCAGCTTTGGATGATGAGGGCGCAGCAGATCACGACGATGCCGGCTCATCTCTGTACACATCTGCTTCCTTCTCCCGCAAACCCAATCTCAAAACGCCGCCTCAGCTTGTCGACCATCTCCCTCTTGCCCAAGACGCCGCCATGTCAACTTTCCAGGAGATCACATTCAACGACTACCACGACAAGAAGCTTGGACGTCCTCCTGGCAAGTTTGACGACTACATGCTCTGCGATTGCAACCCTCACTCCGAGAGCGAAGATCTCGCCTGCACGGACGAATCTGGCTGTATCAACCGCATGACCCAGATCGAATGCTCTTCCTCCAAGTGTCGATGGGGAAAGCTTTGTCGCAATCAGCGTTTCCACCGCAGGCAGTACGTCAACGTCGACATCGTTCAAACCGAGAAGAAGGGCTTTGGTTTGCGAGCCGCACAGGACATCCCCAAAGAGACGTTTGTGTACGAGTATGTAGGCGAGGTTATGAATCAGCCTACCTTCCTCGAGCGCATGCAGCAGTATCGACAAGAAGGTATTCGCCACTTTTACTTTATGATGCTACAACCCAACGAGTATCTCGATGCCACCAAGAAAGGCGGCAAGGGTCGTTTCATCAACCACAGTTGTAATCCCAACTGCTCTGTATCCAAATGGCAGGTCGGAAAGCATCTTCGCATGGGAATCTTTGCAAAACGCAACATCCAGAAGGGCGAAGAGCTCACCTTCAACTACAATGTCGACAGGTACGGCAACGACGCTCAAGAGTGTTTCTGTGGTGAACCCAACTGTGTAGGCACGCTCGGAGGTAAGACTCAGACTGATCTCAGCGGCATTGACGATCTCTTCCTTGATGCCCTCGGAATCGCAGACGAAGTCGAAGAGACAGGCGCCAAAGGCTCAAGACGAAAGCGCGGCAAGCGACTCGATCTCGACTTTATCCCTCAGATGCGTCCCATCAAGGAGCATGAGGCTACTCGTGTCATGACCGCTGCTCGACAAGCCGGTCCCAAACGCGAGATCCTCGAAAAGTTGCTACGCAGGATGGAGATGACCACCGACGTCAATGTGCAAAAGTCACTTGTCAAACTACATGGCTTCATTCTGATGCAATTCTTGTTAGAGCAGTGGTGGAACGATCGCGACATTGTTTTGCTGATCATCAATGTCCTTGCTCGGTGGCCGCTCATTGCACGTAACAAGGTCATCGACTGCGGAGTCGAGGATCAGGTACGCATCGTCGCCGAAACGTATCGAACCAAAGTCAGAAAGAAATCTGAGGATCAACAAGACTCAGTGGATTCAAAGACCGATCAGAAAGCCGAATTCAATTCACAAGGAGAGGTCAAGGTGGAAGATCCTTCCGTTGAGTCAAAAGCGGACATCAACTCGGACACCGACATCAAGGGCGAAGCCGCAACAGAGCACAACAGTCCAGTGCCACAGCACGCCGCCACACCAATTGGTGCACCGCCTTCACCTGACGCAGAAGTTTCCTCTCGTGCTGAGCACCTGCTCGAAGCATGGAAGAAGCTCGATATGACCTATCGAATCGCACGCAAGGATGCTCTCAAGCAAGGATCGGAAGATCTCAAGGAGGCCGCAGCAGTGACAACATGGGTTGATCGTCGACGATTACAGGACCTTGATGATCCTCTGGAGCTTGACCAGGCTCAGGCTCCCAACACGGTCTCTTCCGAGCTGGGTTCTGCCCTCTCGAACGACCAAGACATGCGCGAAAGTCGACCAACATGGCAGCCACCACCGGCACCTCGGTCGATTGCCTCCAATTCGTTGCATGCAAAGCGATCCTTGAAGCCAATGAACGGTTCTGGCCACCACCTTAGGCTGTCGCCTGGCAACTTCACCCCCACTGGCCTGAACTCATTGGGTCAGAGCCCAATCACACCTGACCAGCTCACTTCAGCTTTGTCGTCCTCCCTGGCAAAATCACTGCCCGGTCTGGTTTCATCGCTCAAGCAACAGCAACTTCAGATACAGCAGCAGCAACAACAGCAGCCACGCCAGCCGGCACCAGCACCAGCCCCTACTCCGCCCGCCAAGTCGATTGAGGACATCATTCGGGAGGCAAACGAGCAGGAGGAGCGCGCACGCAAAGATGCCGAAGCAGCAGCAAAGGCAGCCCGTGAACTCGAGCTCAACGGAGGTCTCAGCAGCAGCTCTTCCCGCAAACGACCGTCATCTTCGTCACGACACGCAGACAAGCGACACAAGGTCTCTTCTTCCTCCAATGCTCACGCCTCTTCTCGCCACGGTGCAGCGAACGGTGCAGACTCGAGTCGGGCCACTGTCGACCCTTCCACCCACGCTGACCCAGCCGATCTTGCAGCCAGCAACGAGCGAAGGCTGCGTAAGCTGGTTGGCGAGATCGTCGTGCGTCAGATGTCGAAGCACAAAGACCAACTGGAACGCGACAGCTTCAAGCGTCACGCAAAAGAGTTGACCAACGTCATCGTGGACAAAGAGATGCGCAATCCCAAGTCGTGGCCTCCTCCTCGTGGCTCCGCGTTGACAGAGCTTTCGAACGAGAAAAAGATCAAGATGAAGAGCTTTGCCAAGGAGTACATTGACAAACTCATGGCGAGGAAGGGCAAGGGTAAAGGGTCATCGACGCCAAATGATGGGCCTTCGACGAGTTCGGCAGCAGGCACTAGCAGCACGTAACATCATTGCAACCAAGCATCACTTTATTCCGCGCAAGCCTCTTGTTTGTAACTTTCTGTCAGTCACAGTGTATTCTTACAATCATCTCAACAGCCGTTAGCAGCATCGCATTTTCCCAAAGCTATGGCAATGACGTTCGTGAATTTCACCTAAGCGCCTACTTGATGAGATAGTTCCTCTGAATCCAAAGCGCCAATGCAGCGATGAGTAGCGAGAAAATGATGGTGGTATAGAAGCCCATCCTTGTCTCCGAGATGAACGCCAGCGCACCTCCACCGCTCGAGGCTGACTCTAACAACGCCTTTGCCGGGATGGGGATGACGCGAAGGGTATTATCTGCACTCGCAGATACGAGCAGGTTCGAAGCCGGGTTGAACTTGAGGCATGTGGGTGGGAAGTCGTGGGCATGAAGAATCTTGAGCACGGGACGCAGGGTCTTTGCATCCAAGACACCGATGGAGAGATCGGACGAGCCGTAGGCGAGGAACTTGCCATCAGGAGAGACGTCAAAGACGGTGACGGGTCGATCCGAGACGTGGCGAGTTTCGATGAGATCCCACGTGTCGGCGTCCCAAGCGGTCACAAAGCTCTTGCGAATCTTGGCTTTTGGGCCCTTGCCACCTACGGGAGCAGCGTTGACGACGGTGAAGAGCTTCTCTTTGCTTGCCTCGCCACGACCGAATCGAGCAGCACGGAAAGAGCAAGGACCTTTACCGCCAAGCGCGGGGTTCTTAATGGTCTGGATGGTCTGTGCGAAACCCTCGGCTGATGCGTTGGCGGCGTCTCCGTCGGCTATCACCTGATCGGAGCTGGACTCTGAGAAAGGATCTGTCGAGTATACGACGAGTTTGGAGGAAGACGTGAAAACGAGGTGGGTATTGGAGTGAGAAAAGTCGGCATCGTAGATCTCGCTCTTGTCAAAGTCATGGGAAGGGATGGAGACGGAGGTGTCTTTAGCTTCAGCAGCAGTGATAGCAGAGGATGAAGGTTCGCCTACGTCATTCCAGACGGGGGTAAGAGAAGGGTATCGGTGAAGTGCAACCTGACCGTCAGTGCTGGCGATGGCAAGCATGTGGCCATTGGGACTGAAGGTGACAACTTTGAGATATTGCTCCGGGTCTTGGATGTTGAGAGAAGAGAGGGCTCTGACAAAGTGCAACTTGACCTGTGGGCCTTGCTCGGTCGTCTCTTCCTTGGCCTTGCCCTTTTCCGAAGAAGTGGTGCGTATCTCTCCATTGGCCTCGACAGCTTGCAAAGAGTAGTCGAAGATGCGGACAGGCTGGTTGTTGCCGTTCCTGATGTTATCCGCTGTATCATTGATGCCGCAGACGAGTTGTGACTTGGAAAGGTTGACTGACATGGCCATTGGAGCATCCTCGTCTCTAGACAATCCGAGCTCGTCGAGTTTGTGGATGGTTTGTGCGGAAAGGTCTATGCGGGCAGCCACGACGGCGTTGGTGACTCCAGACCGACCAGCACCACCACCACCCGAGTACACAATCACATCATCCTGTAGAAAGCCGACCGAGTAGATTGGGATTTTTGCTTGCACTGGAAAATGCTGAGTTCTTGCCATCGTCGTCGTTGCGGGATGAGGTGTAAGGAGGATCTGCTAGCAGGAGGTGCGGAAATGCCGATGGAATTGCTGGATAACACGGTATGCCAAGAAAGTGCTGAGCCGATACAGCGTCGGTAATGGGTCCGATGAAGCACAGTAGACAGGAGTTGGCGGATTGATCGAGATGGAACGACGGTGGGCTTCGTGGAAGAAAGGAAAAGTGACAAGACAAAGCAAAAGTGTGATTGGCGTCTATCATGGCTTGTGCGTGCGTGAGAGTAGTGGCTGCGATTTTGCTTGGGGAAGGCGCGTCTGGCAAGCAAGAGTCTTTCTCGGAGGAGGAGGGAGGAGGAGCGTGCCGTCTGCAGGTTTAGAAAACAAAGCTCGCTTTCTTCGCTGGCTAAAGTCACGAGGAGGATCTGGATGTGCATGCTGAAGATAACGATCCAGCAGAGCACGATCTGATGACGAATCGGGGAAAGTCGATCTGATCGGAGATCGGGCGGGCCGATATGATGGAGATCCAGGACGGTTTGGGTCCCGTCCGTTGTCATACTTGCTCATTAGGTGGGATGCTCCCCACAGTCAGCCACAAACCACAAATGTATATAGACAATGAGCGGAGAGCTCGAGGCTACCGCTACCTTCTTCCCTCACGTCAATATAGTATAGTGTTTTAGCTCAAAAGCTTGAACACTGTACTTAGACTGATATCTCCCGATAAGTGTCGATCAGAGTTAAATCTTTCTAACAGTGCAATCTTTGATTCACCGAGAGCTTTGAAGCATCAACCTTGGTGGCGGACCTTGCTTGACCTTTCAGACTGAACCCAACTCCTTCCATCATTCTGTCGCATCATCTCAAAAGTAAAAAGCTTTAGCAAAGTATCGCTCGCTGTCGATACAATGCTGTGCAACAGCGGCTCAAGCAATGCTTCTCCGGCCACACCCGCCTCCGATGTCAAGCGGGAGGCTCGACAGCTCAAGACCTTGACGCGTTCACAGTTAGCAGATCGCATCGCTCAAGGCGAAACACTCGTTTTGCATCGACGAAAGATCTACAAACTGGATCGATGGCTCGCAAGGCATCCAGGCGGTGAGCTCGCCATTCTTCACTTTGTTGGTCGCGATGCCACCGACGAGATCGAAGCATACCATTCCGACGAAACCATCTCACGCCTCATGTCTCGTTTCGTCATTGGCTATCTTGACCAAGCAGATTGGGATAACTACAGGCCGCTTGTGCCACCCGTTCAACTCGGTTACCGCAAGGGAAAGCTCGACCATCCTCATGCTCAAGTAGCAATGTGGCGACACAGAAACACGCCTTCGACCAGTGCCGGCAGTTCCGATCGCGAGAGCCAAGGTTCAGATGCCTCGTCATCAAGTTCGGAGGAAGCGCATGTCGAAGACCTCCTTGTCGGCACCCCACCTTTGTCGGATCACATCCGAAAGATACGAGCAGAGAAGGCTTCGACAACACACAATCGAAAGCAAGTCGCTCGTTCCACTCTTCTTGTTGAAAGACCCGATGGCTTCCCACTACCCGTCGACCTCCTTGAGCCTCCACCCGATCCCGATACCATCGATCCGGCACGAGAGAAGGTCATTTCGGAAGCGTATCGGCAGTTGCATCAGCGCGTCAAACATGCTGGTCTCTACACGCTTCGTCCCATCGGCTATGCTCGTGAGATGGCTCGATACATCCTCTTGGGCTCCGTCGCCTACGCTTTCTGGTTCCGCGGACAAGCACAATTGCAACTAGAACGATCGACACCAGCATCGCTTTCAAACGGGTCATCGACATTCAACACTTCGACTGTCTCTTTTTGGCTCTCCAGTCTCTTCCTCGGTCTCTTCTGGCATCAGCTCACCTTCTCGGCGCATGACTCGGGTCACAGTGGCATCACACATTCTTGGCAGTGGGACCGCATCATCGGTACCACCATTGCTGACTTCATTGGAGGTCTCAGCATCGGCTGGTGGTGTGATAATCACGACGTTCACCACCTTGTCACCAACCACCCCGAGCACGATCCAGACATTCAGCACATGCCATTCTTTGCCATTTCGCCCCAATTCGTCTTGGCCGGTCAGACCACCGTGATCAACGGCGCCGATAGCATCGATGCCTCGCCCTCGCCTGCTTCCTCCAGGCCTTCAGGTCTGTGGTCATCTTATTACCGCCGCATACTCGAGTTCGATGCACCCAGCCGCTTCCTTCTTCAGCATCAGCACAAACTCTACTACATCGTCATGGCATTTGGCCGCTTCAACCTCTATGCAAATTCGTACGGCTTTCTTGCGCTCAAGGCACGTCGCGATCGCTGGCTGGCCCTTGAGGTGGTCGGCCTTGTCACCTTCTGGACCTGGTACGGATACGGACTTCTCGGCTCTCTACCTTCTTGGCCCATCCGCCTTGCCTATCTCATGATCTCGCACGTCGTCACTTCGCCCTTGCACATCCAGATTGTGCTCTCTCACTTTGCTCAGTCGAGCGAGGATATGGGGCTTAGCGAAAGTTTTGCCTCTCGTCAGATCCGTACAACTATGGATGTCGACTGCCCGCCTTGGCTCGACTTCCTTCATGGTGGGCTTCACATGCAGGTCTCGCACCATCTCTTCCCGCGTGTACCTCGTCACAACCTCAGGGAACTTCGCGACCGCTTCGTCGTACCTTTTGCCAAGCAATGCGGGCTTGAGTACCACGAGTACGGCTTCACAAAGGGCAATGGTCGGGTACTGGCTACCCTTAAGAAGGTCGCAGATCAGGTCCACATTCTTGCAAAGGTCGCGGAGGCTTCAGCCAAGGGGGAGCTTCAGCATTGATCGCAGTTGGATCCTGCAACGCGTTTGCATGGGCCGTTCCCTTTTCACTGTTAAATACATACCTAGAGCTGCTACTTCTTTCAGATCACTGTGAAGATCGGCTTTTCTGACTGACAGAGGGCTATGACTATGAGCTGAAATACCCTTTTGGAAGACCTGAAACGGTATGTTTCAGTTGAAGTTATGCGATACACCTCTTCGTCCGGGCTACGTTCTAGCTCCTTTCGCACTAGTGTATAGTAAATGCAATGCTTAGATTCAGATAGACTAGGACTACAGTAATGTGAAGATATATATACCTTTTGCTTCGTTCATGAGAATTGCCATCCACACCCTGTGAACTAGGTGTGTCATGAGGAGCCTCAGCATTTTCCTCCATACTCTTGGTGTTCCTTTCTCTAAATGTGTCCTGATTGGTTGCCACCAAATTTACTTATGCATGCACAATCCTTGGCCTGTCAGTGGCTCAGCTCTCTTGCATGTTTGTCATTCTGGTGCAACTTCAACTCCCCCCCTTGCCAGTATGACCAAATCCATTGCTTAAGCTAATTGAGTTGTTTCTCCTCCTTTCAATGGCTTCATGAGGATGTCTGCCACATGTCATGGGCCTGAATGCTCAAGAAGCAGGAGGGTCACTGGTTCATATGGAAGGAGCACAGGTATCGAAGATCTAGTCGATACCATTAGAGAGCATGGTCATAGTGCAGTCTCCATGGAGACCATGGACTCCTACAGACTCACATGCAAAGGAGGACTAAGCCCATATGCAAGGAGGGCCAGGCACAGCCACAAAGAGGACCAAGCTCAAGGAGCATGCAGATGGTTACCACTCAGGGGCTCGAGAGAGCAGTGTCGAAGGAGTCGACACAGCTCAAGAGGCACAGGGGTGCCAAGCAAGCAGGAGAGGCCCCCTGAACAGTACTTGATGAAGAAGGTACTCTCTGGAGAGAGAGCAGGAGCAGTGTCACTGGTGATGCTGTGAAGAGGTATATAACCATGCTTTCTCATCATCAAAGGTCAAGTGGATCCTCATCCACTCTACACCCATCATAACTAGTTATCACTTCAGCATAAGTATATATTAGTTTCAGTCAGCATAGCAGCAATCTATCAAGGTTGCTCCTCATCATAGTGTGTGTGTTGTATCACCACTACCTGATGTCTGAAGGTGACCCATAGCAGGTCAGTGGTCTGGATATAGATAGAACTGAAGGCAGTAGTCCACTGTGGTCCAGGGATCACCTCAAGCATCAGTCAACACACTGGACACTCGTGTTGACACCACCAACCTTATCACCAATGCCACCAACCTTATCACCAACACCATCAACCTCATCATCATCAACACTCACACCAGACCTTGGTGTCATCATAACCTATGTATTGTTATTGATCGTGCCAAGCTACCCCTGAATGGAGTGTCCTCAGAGGTCAGCTGAAACCTACAATAGTATATACAATGAACACCACCCACTGTCATTGCGCAACTTGATAGTCGCCAAAGCAACTAACTCATTGAGACTGATACTGAGACAATAGCTGTCACACAGTTTGATAGTCACTGAGTATCTCAACAGACCGACCTGGGTTTCAGGTGCGAGACCCCTGACAGGAGGGAGGCATCGGACTCTGCTGTCACGATGTGCCGAAAGGCATCCTCGAGGTCACCTTTCCAGAGGAGGCAGTTGGGATTGGACTGCACAAAGTCAACAAGCTGGTGGATGGACTTGTACTGGATGTGGACAAAGGAAGGGTGGATGCCGGCATTGACAGAAGGGAGGGTCGAAGAGGCCGGATGTCGAGGGTGAGACAGGTGGTGAATTGTGCAGAGCTTGGTGGAGCGAGGCTTGGGAATGACTCCAATAGGAGACTTGATGAGGGCAGAGGTGGGTGGCACCATGGTGAGGTGACCCTTGCCAAGGCAAGCGAAAATCTTGCGGTGAAGGTGAGCATGGCTGTCAGTGTCGATGGGCAGGTTGGCAATGTGGCAGTTGGCTTGGCAAAGGGGGCTGTCGTAGCCTAAGAGGCAGCCATGACAGATCATGCCAGCAACCTGTGTGCTGTAACACTTGTCAGGGTAGTCCTGGAGGAGGTGCTCCCACGTCTGCTGCTGGAGTTGCATGGAGCCAATGCAAGCTGGCGATGTGGTGGGATCAAAGGCATTGAGTTCGAGGGTGGTGTTGGGTTGAGGTGGAGGAAGATGCTGCTGCAGATTGAGAAGAAGTGAGAGACACTGGTCAGCTGAAGGAATGTTCAGAGCTGCTGGGACCGAAGTGAGATGCCAGACCTGAGTCTGTTGCGGAGACCTGGAAGATGGCTGGACCTGAGTCTGTCGCAGAGATGTGCTGTTGTCGAGGATGTTGACAGGCCGGACCTGAGTCTGTCGCAGAGACCTGGAAGCTGGCTGGACCTGAGTCTGTCACAGAGACATGTTGTCATCAAGGGTGTCGACAGGCTGGACCTGAGTCTGTCATGGAGACCTGGAAGATGGCTGGACCTGAGTCTGTCGCAGAGACATGTTGTCATCAAGGGTGTTGACAGGCTGGACCTAAGTCTGTCGCAGAGACGTGCTGTCGTCGAGGATGTTGACAGGCCGGACCTGAGTCTGTCGCAGAGACCTGAAGGAAGGCTGGACCTGAGTCTGTTGCAGAGATGAAGAAGAAGAGGCTTGGGGCTGTTGCATGGACAAACCGCCAGGAGACGAAGAGGCCAGACCTGGGTCTGTTGCGGAGATGGGCCCACGCGGTCAAGTGGGCAAAGAGTCTAGGTGTACTACTCACCAGGTGACTACTGTTGCTGTTTCTTGATGTTGGCTGCTGGGTTGGTACATGAAGTGCAAGGGTGAGGACCCCTACAGGTCTCGCACACATGCTGGCACTGGCACTGAGAGCTGTCAGGACAGCTGGTGGAGTTGAAATGGAAGCACACTTGAGAGCTAATGTCCTGGCGCTGGCGCTTGACAGAGGAGGAAGCTGGAGTGTTGGCAGCAGAGGCTGGTGTCATAGGCTTTGCCAGAGACTTGGAGGTTGACACATTGCGACAAGGGATACTGCCCAGAGCTTTCTGCCAAGCACTGAGGTCGTTGTCAGCCCAGTCACTGGCTGATGTATAGCTGAAACGGTGCTTGCAGACTGTGAGGACGTACTCAGCGACAGCTGGCCAGTGCCACTTGGTGTTGTGGTCGATGACTGCCACAAGGAAAGAGCTAAGGCTGGCACAGAGGTTGGGGTTGCTGGTGCTGGTGCAATGAAGGGCTGTGTATGCTGTCCAGGCCTGGGCAAAGGTGTGCATGTCCAGGACTTGGTGCAGGAACCTCTTGACATCTGGAGCATCAGACAAAGGGAGAGCCAGTTGGATGCAGATGCCATTGACCAGGATGCCAGAGGCAGCATCTGGTTTGGCACAGGACTTGCTGGTGCAACGAAGCTTGCCAAGGTCATGGGGCAGGAGACAGTCATCATAGACTAGCTGAGTGACCTCTGGGGAGATCCAAGGGAACAGTCGATGGAGCTGCAACTCACCAGAGGGTGAAGTCGAGGATGGGGTGGCCAGAGGGGGCTGAGCAGATGGTGCCACTGGTGCAGCAGCTGCTGGATAGGAAGGGGCAAGCGCGCTTGTTGGCTGTGCCTGGTCTTGATGGAGGGACAAGATCAGCTGGCAGATCTCTAAGATCGAGCTGGCAAGCTGAGAGGAGAAGTCAGCTTGTGCATCAAGCCTGGCATGCAGAGCAGCTATGTTGGTGGCAACATTGCACTGTGTGGAGTGATCAACAGCAGGTGGCAAGGAGGGAGTGGGGACTGGTGCTGCAAAGGTGGGGGGGGTCAGTGGAGGAGAGGATGCCGTTGGTGGTGCAGCAGTTGGTGCCCAGAAGCTCAAAGCCGGGGTGGCCACAGAGAGAAGAGAGACAGGCTGGACACCATGGCAGGCTGCACAGCACTGGCAAGCTCAGTTGCACTTGCCATGGAAATGGTTGGGTGGAAAAGACTGGCTGCAGTGGGTGCAGGCTTGCTGCTGGGCCATGGTTGACCAGAAGGTAGTCAACTCATGAAACAGAGCAAAGTCATGTGATATAGCCATGCCTGCAACAAGAAAGAAAGATGATGGAGAGGAAGGAAGTGTCATGGGCCTGGATGCTCAAGAAGCAGGAGGGTCACGGGTTCATATGAAAGGAGCACAGGTATCGAAGATCTAGTCGAGATCAGTAGAGAGCATGGTCGTAGTGCAGTCTCCATGGAGACCATGGACTCCTATGGACTCACATGCAAAGGAGGGCCAAGCACAGCCACGAGGAGGACCAAGCTCAAGGAGCAGGCACAGCCATGAAGAGGACCAAGCTCAAGGAGCATGCAGATGGTTACCACTCAGGGGCTCGAGAGACAAGAGCCAAAGGAACTGTCACTGATCAAAGGAGGAGGAGCAGTGTCGAAGGAGTCGACACCAGGTCATGAGGAGGAGGAGCAGTGTTGAAGGAGTCGACACAGCTCAAGAGGCACAGGGGTGCCAAGCAGGAGAGGCCCCTGAGCAGTACTCGATGAAGAAGGTACTCTCTGGAGAGAGAGAGCAGGAGCAGCATTGCTGGCGATGCTGAGTAGAGGTATATAACCATGCTTTCTCATCATCATAGGTTGAGTGGATCCTCATCCACTCTACTCACCATATAACTAGTTATCACTTCAGCATAAGTATACATTAGTTTCAGTCAGCATAGCAGCAATCTATCAAGGTTGCTCCTCATCGTAGTGTGTGTGTTGTATCACCACTACCTGACATCCGAAGGCGCCCATAGCAGGTTAGTGGTCCAGATCAAGATAGAACCGAAGGCAGTAGTCCACTGCGGTCCGGGGATCACTTCAAGCATCAAGTCAACACACTGGACACTTGTGTTGACGCCACCAACCTTATCACCAACACCATCAACCTCATTATCATCGACATTACCAATCTCATCACCAACACCTTCAACCTCATCATCATCAACACTCACACCAGACCTTGGTGTCATCATAACATTGATATTGATCGTGCTGAGCTACCCCTGAATGGAGTGTCCACAGAGGTCAGCCGAAACCTACGATAGTATATACAACGAATGCCACCTGCTGTCACTGCACAACTTGATAGTCACCGATATCGAGACAATAGCTGTTGCACAGTTTGATAGTCACCGAGTATCTCGACAGACCGACCTGGGTTTCAGGCGCGAGACCCCTGACAGGAAGCAAGAATGAGTGGCACACTGACTTTTGTCAGTGTGACAAGATGAGGTGGAAGGTGGGAGGCGCGTGCGCGAGCTCAGATGTGCACGCCGGTCACGTGCTGCAACTTCGTTGGACCCTTCTTTCAATTTACGACAACTGCCGGTGAGAACACCGCTTTCCTCCACTTTTCAGATTCACAGTGCTCATCTTTGCTTGGTTCCCCCTACTTACCACCACTACCATCCTACGAGTACCAAGATGGATAGCACAAACCCAAGCAGCGACAAGGCAGGCAACGCCTCCAACACTCTTGCTGCCCCACTCGGCCTTCCCGCTCCGTCCGATGCGCCTGCCTCGTGTGAGCCCACCAACGTCATCAAGCTCGACCATCTCGGTCCCATGATCGTCAACTCGGACGGCACCATCTCGAGGGTTGCCAACTGGCAGAACATGAGCGACATCGAGAAAGAGAGGTCGCTCAGACTTCTTTCCAGGAGAAATAATGCTAGGATAGAGACGCTGAAGGCGAACGAGAACGAGTAGATGCTCAGCGAGGTTGCCATTACCATAGCTCGACTTCTGCCGTACGTATTGGCTTATCCTAATCACATTGCCGTCTCGCAAAAAACGACCCTCGCAAGAGTAATCAACGGCAACATGCTCCGCAACTCAGTGGTCTCGTGTCATTCCGATCCTCAAGTCAAGAGTCAATCATCGATACCCACTTCAGACATGACACGTTCACAGAAAAGCAACCAATCGAACAGCATTTCTACGATAAACCTCAGGACAATGAACGTCTCGACAAGTATACCTACTAACTTACTGTCCTGTGCCCTTTTTCTGAGCAACGACAATGAAGCACCGGATCAAGCCTCCCTCTTCACTCCAGCTCTTTACCACATTACCGAATGAGCCCAAACCCTTTCGCATCGCCCAACCACCCCCCCTCCACACCGCTCCTTCAGTGGCAAAGCTCTTCAAGAACCTGGCAAAACCAGGGAACACGTCCGATGTGATATCGCGCATCATGATGTCGTCTGCTTTAAAGCTCTGGTCGCGAAGAATGGAATGGTAGCGGTCGACTGACCACAGATTAGCTTGTTTGACAGATGTAAGCATGCACGTAAAGGAGTGCTTGAAACGCTTTGACAGCGAAGGCGCTTCGCGTGGGTACGGCGGGTTGCCGAGCTGCACGTTCGCTGAAGCTCCTGGTTGCGGGGCAGGATAGGCCGAGAGCAAGTCGTACAATGCGAGCTTTCCACCAGGGTTCAGTCTCTCTGCAGCCAAATTGATATACTCTGCTCGATCGCTGAAGTGGAATGCGCAGTCAAGGGCAATGATCACATCATACTTCTCTCCTCCTCCTTCACCATCCTTCAGCCACTGTAAGATGTCGTCTGCCCATACCTTGATCTGGGTACCCTCGCCAAATTTCTCGTCCCCGCTTAGTCGTGCCTGCAGTCTTTCGGCCCCAAAAGCAGCCTCGTCAGGTAAGCTCGTCACTGCATGCAAGATTGTCGGTTTGTACTTTTCCAACAGTAGCAACGTCGACTGCCCTGCTCCACATCCTACATCCAACACCTTCATCCCTGGCTTCACCCCTGCTGCTGCGTAAAGCTCTTCAGCAAGAGTCTGGCACGCAAGTGGAAAGTCCAGCTCGGACTGCGAGAGTTGCGGTGTCCAAAAGCCCATGTTCATCCACGCTGTGGTGGGAGGGCGGACGTTGAGCGCTAGACAGGACAGCGATTGGTACGCTTCTCGATCGCTGGAACGGAGGGAAAGGAAGAGAAGGCAGAAGAGGAGGGCTGCCCAGATGGTCGATGTTGAGGTCAACGATGCAGTGGACAAACGCGCGTAGATCGTCGATGCTACGTATTGTGCAGCATCGCTGAGGTGCCAGGCGAAGCCGTTTCGGTGCTCTTGACCAGTGATCAGTGCAGCCGTGGTGAACCGATCAAATGCGACCTTTCCGCCGACAATGGTAGCATCCACTTGCGCAGCCCTCAGCAGTGCGGGAGTTACGTTCTCTTCATCCAGAATGTTTCGATCAAGCAATGTGAAATCCGCCCGCTTGCCTGCACTGATACTGCCAGCGATGTCCTCCTCGAACTGTGCAAATGCAGCATCTTGCGTGAACCCCTTGAGTGCTTCTCGACGCGTGAGCCGCTCGTGTGGGAACCATCCGCCGTTTCCATGAGGTGAGTTGCCGTGTGCGTTGAGTCGTGTGACGGAAGAGTAGATGCCATGAAGAGGGTCTGGTAGCTCAACCGGGAAGTCTGAGCCCAGAGCGAGGCTGGCATTAGCGTTTAGCAGTGATTTCCAGGCGTAGGCACCGTTAGCTGCGCGATCGTGACCGATGCGAGATTCAACGTAGCCCATATCAGAGGTGCAGTGCGTTGGCTGCATCGATGCAATCACACTCAGCTGAGCGAAGCGGTCCAAGTCTGAAGGCTTCATCAGTTGAGCGTGTTCCACTCGCGGACGAAGGGAAGATGCAGCAACACCAGGATAGGAACGGAGATAGTTCTCGTAAGCATCGAGTGTGAGCGTATTGGCACGATCTCCAATAGCATGCGTGCAGACTTGCCATCCTTTCTCCAGCCAGTATTCCACTAATCCTGGTAGCTCTTGCTCTGGAATGAGAAGGAGACCGCGCTCCCCAGGCTTGTCTGAGTACTCATTCCACATCGCTGAGCCCCACGAGCCTAATGCGCCGTCGTTGAAGAGCTTGACTGCACGCGAGGTGAACATCTGGTTGCTTTTCTGTGTAGCTGTTATTTTGAGTTTGATCTGCTCGATCCGGTGAGCGCATCTTCGCTCGCCCGGTGGACAAGCAAGCATCGAGTAGATTCGGAATCGTAGCTGACCCTCTGCATCCATCTTCTTGTAGAAAGCAGCAGCTTTGAGGTCTGTGGCTGCATCGCCCACAGCAGTGATTCCGACACGCAGCAGACCTTCGGTGGCAGCATCGAGGAAGATCCTTCGTTGCTCGTCCGTCCACTCTGGCACCACCTGGTAGGCAAAGTTCATCGCATTGTCGATGAGAATACCTGTTGGCTTTCCTTCCTCGTCGCGCACAACGAGCTCTCCTTCGACTTTGCCGTCCTCCTCAGGAGATCCAGGAAAACCCGTAGCGCCGCGAACAATCATATCCAGTCCAACTTCACTGAGCCATAAGGCATGAACATCGACGCGGCGAAGCAAGATGGGAAAGCGTCGCAGAAGGGTGGAGCGAGATAGGTCAGCCGCGGTGGGGAATTTGGCCGGCGTCCATTTCGTCTGATCCCAGCCAATGCCTTCGATCCAGGGCAGAGTAGTCGTTTTGACAACGCTTGCATCGTCCGCAAGAGTAAACGCCATCAGGTGCGGGCGCGATCGCACGTATTCCTCCAGACGCTCAATCACTTCTTGGACCGACATGGAGCCGACTAGATTGACGACAGTACGGGACCAGCCATAGTCGAGAATGTGACCATGAGCATCGTGAAATCCTGGAAAAAGCGTCTGTCCTGCTTTGAGCCGGCGTACAACGCATTTGTCCTTCCTGCGTAGCGCTCCGCCATTCTTCGCATTGCTATTTCGGTTGAGGCGTGTTGCTTTGTTGCTACGTGGGCCGCGCCATCTCTGTTGACCTGTTCGGCTGGCAGCATCTGGATGACCACAGATGTCAGCAATGACTTTTTCCTCTTCTCCGACGTGCGTGATGACCCCGTCAGCAACACCGACGCATTGGGTAAAGCCCTCATGCTGTGCGAAGTGCTGGTCGTCTCCAGTATAGATGGACCTGGGCGAAGAGTCCGATGAGCTCAAATGGAGCACACCTCGTTCGTTCGGTGAGCAGATGACATATCGGTCCGGTAGAGATACAAACTGAGAAGATAGTCGGAACGAGCTTAATTTTGCGGAGGAAAGAGACCATACGCTGATGAGCAGCAAGGTAGCCGCCAATATGCTCAGCGAGCGCCCAGTGAAAGGTCTGGCTTGCTTGTTTGAACGCTTGCTCGGCTGAAGCACATTGCTAGCATCACTTCTACCTTTCTCGGTTCGCATCTTCAAGATGCTGGGATAACGAAAGCTTCACCCTGGGCGATTGGGTCGTTGAAGAGAGGTTGGAAGAGAGGCCCGAGCGAAGCAGAGTGTTGGTTTTGGTGTTGGTTCAGGATGAGACACTTTTCTCATCGGCGAAAAGCCCGGCAAACAAATCGCGAAAAATGAGTTTATGTTAGAGTCTTATATTCTAGCACGGCAAAGTGGAGGTTTGTGGTGATCGAAAACGCGTAACGAGAGTCACAAGTCCAGACGTTCAGACCAACACCTCCGGACATGCCCCTTCTCGACCCACACCACACCTCACTACTTGCGTCACGCTTCCCCGACCACGGAACAGGCTTTCATTTCTACAGGCACGCAATCGCGCAGTCGCATTAGAACTCGAGCCCAAAGTGACAACAACAGTACTAAGAATATCGTTCCAAACAATCTGAAAGGATCCCGCACACAATGGCGTCCTCAGCAGGGATGGACGTTGATCAGGTGGACGAGCACTACCTCGAGCATGCCGCTGCATCATCCTCCACGCCGACATCTCTCAAATCGTTCTACCCCAAGTTCCAGCAGTTGCACGACCGAAAGCTATGGTATCAGCTCACCTTGACCATTGAGGAGTTCCTCAACCACCCCGACTCGCAGACCCCTCCAATTCAGATCGAGCTTTACGACAAATTTGTGCGCCGCTTCTCGTCGAAGATCAACCAGCTGCAACTTGCAGCGATCGGTATCAAAGTTGCAAGACAGTACCCAGATCCAGCAAAGGCGCTCGAGTTCTTGGAACAGCTCGCAACCAAGCTCGACTCGCCCGGCTCTCAAGATGCATATGTATACGCATTGATGGAGGCTGCGCACTTCAAACTGCTTCTGGGCGATGCCGATGGAACGAAGGTGGCGATGGACAAGTGTGGCAAGATCTTGGACGGCTTCGATGCAGTGGAGACAGCGGTGCACGCAAGCTTCTACCGCGTCTGTGGTGATTTCTACAAGGCGAAAGCGGAGTATGCCAACTACTACAAGAACTCGCTTCTCTATCTCGCCTGTGTCAACGTCGACACTGATCTGACCGACGACGCGCGTGTCCAGCGTGCGCACGACCTCAGCATCTCAGCGTTGCTCGGTGATACGATCTACAACTTCGGCGAGCTTCTGCTGCACCCCATCCTTGCCTCACTCGGCAAGAGCCAACAGTACGCGTGGATCTCTGACTTGCTTTTCGCCTTCAACGCGGGCGACATTGGTCGATTCGAAGCGCTCAACCCACACTTGCCAAAGGAGCCCATTTTGGCAGAGAACGTTCCTTTCTTGCGACAAAAGATCTGCCTGATGTCGCTCATCGAAAGCGTGTTCAAGCGTGCAGCGGACGATCGCACCATCGCCTTCTCAATCATCGCTGCGGAGACCAAGCTGCCTGTGGACGAAGTCGAGCATCTGGTGATGAAGGCGCTCAGTTTGAAGCTGATTCGCGGTACATTGGATCAGGTAGATCAGCTGGCGAGGATCACCTGGGTTCAGCCAAGAGTGTTGGATCATCGACAGATCCAGGCATTGCAAGGAAGGCTGAACAACTGGTGTAAGAAGGTGGAAGAGGTTTCGGAGTATGTCAAGAACCAGACTCGTAAGTGCGCCCGAGTCGACATATGTTTCCAAGTACAGTGTCAGAATCAAGTTGCTGATCGTCTCATCCTCTTGCCCTTTAACCGTTGCCCTACGTGCGAACAGCCGAATTGTTTGTCTCAGCATAAAGCGCGCAACTTGCTGTCATTCATCTGTGCAGTCACTGTCGTTGCAATGCCAATCAGTCACATGCACTTTTCATCAGAATGTTGGTTCAAGACTGTATGGAGAAGGACTGAGAGAGACGTATACGTAGTACAAGGATGAGCGAAGAAATGCAGATGACGACAGTACGATGGAACAGAATCGGGGGATGAGAACGAAACAACAGAGCACAATGAAAGTGTGAAAGAGCGTAGTGCAGAGAAAAAAAAAATGCTGACGAGGAGGGTCGGATCTAGAGGACGACACACTTGCACGAGCCAGCGTCGTTGTGTAATGCCTCCTTGGTCTTGCTTTGCGAGATAGCGCCGCCTGTACTTGCACCCGTGTTCCTGACCAGCATGGCAGCGCGTGTCGCAGCCTCAAAGACGGCATCAACACCTTGATTGTTGAGTGATGAGCACTCGTGATATGAGCGTGCGCCAATCTGTTGTGCGACCTGTTTGGCTTGTTGCCTGTCAACAAAGTGACCTTCAACGGGCTTTCCTTTTGCAATTGCATCTTCGCGCAGATCCTTCTTGCATCCAACCAACAAGACGGGGACGGAAGGACCACATATTTGACGCACTTCTTCCATCCATTTGACCTGCACGTTTTCCAACGAGTCAGGAGTGTCAATGGCAAAGGCGATCAAGATGACATGTGCTTGCGAGTAAGAGAGCGGACGCAAACGTTCGTACTCTTCTTGCCCTGCTGTGTCCCAAAGTGCGAGCTGGACTGGTTTGCCATCAAGACGAATTTCGGCAACATAGTTTTCGAAAATGGTGGGTTCATACTCTTGTGGGAACTCGCCGATAGCAAAGACGCAGAGGAGTGATGTCTTTCCACAAGCACCGTCACCAACAATGACAAGTTTCCTGCGGATCGGCGCTGGAACCATGATGAGCTACGTGTGTTGTTGAAGGAGCGTCAGCTGCGGTTTGGCTTGGAAACGACTGACTGCTTGCTGAGACTCTGTAGAAGTATGTGGCGGGTATGTCAAGGCTCTCTATGTCTGCAAGCTACCGAAGGACGTTTGCGCTCAATTCCCGATCGTCGTTGGATGGAATGACAGTACTGATGGGTGATGGGATCGGTTCCTTATGATGCGAGGCGCAGCAAAGTGTCAATGTGACGTGAATTGAAGTGTTTGGGTGATGATGCGATGGTGATGCGATGATGACGCGGGTCGAGCTGATGTCAAGGATGCTGATGTGAGTGTAGGAGGAGGGTGTGTAGAATTGGACAGGCTCTTGGTGAAGAAGGAGGGAGGAGGCCGAAAGAGGAGCGAAGACGGTTCCAGAAGATGAGGAGTGTCAGTGTGGCCTTTCCGATCCAGGGCGAACGCCAAAATGGGGATCAAGCGCTGTTTTCTGGGCTCCACTTTCCAGCAGCGGGACCGAAGCTGACATAATCCCCTTGTCGGCTTCTCGGCTTCGTCAAGAAAGGTTTGTTTCCCTCAGGGACTCGATGATACCTCATTTCAACCCACACAGACGGGCGCAGAGCCTAATAAAATGCACAGCTGACAGCCCACGCTCTGCTAGACTCGACAGCCACACAGTGTAGGCACATTACCCTACAACAGTCTCCTGTGGCTTCCTTCATGTACTCTCTCTTCTTTCCGGTACGCTGGGGGAAACAGAAGAGCGTGCAGGACCCCTTTTTCGGTGGCTGTGCAGAAGGTGCGCCCGTTGCGATGGGGGGTTGTTGTTTTTTTTTTTTTGTTTTTTTTTTTTTTTTTTCTTTCTTTCTTTCTTTCTTTCTTTTCTAGAAATCACACTTCTTCGGGAACACGATGGGCAAAGCGTGCAAACCTCTGTTGTATGATGGCAAGTGACAGTTCTGCAGCGAGATAGAAAGGCGGATGGAATCGAAGCGAAGCGAATGTCGATCATTGAAGAACAAAGCTGGAATAAGCAGCAATCAGGCGGTCGCAGCTATGAACAAGAAGGCTTTCGAGGGCCAGACACTCAAGTTGCATGTGTGCGCTTTGATCCGCTTCTAGCTACCAAAAGGGTCCACGTTATCGTCGCTCGAACACAACCATTCTCCTTATCACACTGTGGCAAGACTTGGGCAGGGTTCAGATGTGAGCAGGAACCTCTGAGGAAGCAAGAGGGCAGGATAATGTGGCCTCCAGTCACGATCGTTGGATCGTGCTGAAACACCAGACGCTTCCCACTCACTCACATGACCTTTTGCATGCCCTTCTGTGCATTGCACTTCTTCTGCTTTCAGGTATTGCAATGTCAAAGCAAAGGCTAGGACCACGGCCATGAGACGTGATGTTTGGTCATGCTTTCTCAGCTCGAACCGCACCGTAGCGAGCTGAGTTCACATGTCTTGACAAGCCTTGGCAATAGACAGGAAAGCTTCCATATCAGAACTGCGCGGCCCTCTCGGGCATTTTTCAGATGGCTCCTCACAGCACAGCGCCACTGCAACCCTCTTCTGCCGTCAAGGCAACGAAATTGTGGAGGCAAGTAGTCAAATCTTTTCTCTGTTAGACCGAATTAACGCTATCTCGATTGCAGCATCACGCTAAGCCCGATTGACAACAGTGAGCTGCTGGAAGGAGGAAAAAAAAAAAAAAAAAAAAAAAAAAAAAAGTTCGGTTTTGCATTCAGCTGTGAAGGCCACGAACAAAAAAAAATTTGCCTGCAGCTGCAACTAAGAAGAAGAAGAAGAAGAAGAAGGAAAAAAGTTGCTGCTGTTCTGCAAGCCGAAAAAACCCGCTCAGCAGCGAAAGAAGCATTTTTTTTTTCTTCTTCTTTTTGCTGTCTTTCCCGAAAGCTTGAAGGATCGTGTGGCTCAGGAAACTCAGCAAAAACTTTTTATCGAGAAGCCCAACTTGATATCATTCTTCTTCTCATCATCACTACTCACCTTCGTATCCGCCATCCATCACGACACCGGATCATCCAACCAAGTCTCAAGTAAGCATCCAGTCGGTCCGCATCCGAAACGCAGTATCTCGAAGGCTATCAAAGACAAGCTACACGGAAATCGCAACGCTTAGCGGATATCCTCCTCACCCTCGGCAGCAAATGCAACACTTACAGTCGGCATAATCTCGATATTTCTCACATCCCTCGGCCCATCCAGAGTAGCGCTGTAGAGTAGACCACATTCCCTTGACATCGCTACACACAAGTTTGCTTTTGCTCCGCCGAGTCCACGCTTGACACGCAGGATGATTGCAAAGCAGGCATCTCTGGTTCGCGGCTCATCCATGGCCACCGTGGCCTCTGGCTCTTCCTCAAGATGGATGCGATATCCAACAACGTCGACAGCAGCATGGTCCTCTTCCAACGCTTTACGGCGTGCACCAGCTGCATCCAGCCTCTCGTTCAGCACAAAGGGTCCCCGCAGTCAGGCGAGCCCAGCTGCTGAGCCACAAGGAGATCATCACGAGCAACACGCACCTTCTACCTCTGCGGCTCCAATAGCATCGCAACAGCATGTCTCCAGCACTTCACATCCTTCACAAGCTTCGGATCCATCAGCAGCATCCTCTTCCTCGGCATCTTCACAACGCAGCAACCATCTGACCAGATTCATGCCCTACGCATTTGCGACCGGCTCGCCACTGACGCGCTTGCCAACTCCATTACCCCCCGATGTAGCTGAGCGCTCCGCTGTTCTTCGTAAACAGCTTTCACCAAAGGGCTCAGGTGGCAGACCCATCTCTGTTACCAAGCCAGCACTTCTTGACTCGACCATGTCCGGCCTCTCCTTCGGAGACCTTTCCGGCCTCACCATGAGCAGCAACGACGAGATCTTCTATCCAGCATCCAAAGCCGTCGAGTTCATCAGCATCCTCAAAGCTTGTCTCGGAACCGGTCTGATCAGTCGTGCCCACAAGGTTTTCACCGGCCTCCGCAGTCAAGCTGCTGCCCGCTCGCGCGAGCTCTGGGAGCTTCGTCGGCGCCTAGCCCAGGGCATCATCGACCAGCACGACTGGCAGCAAGATCTCGGCGAGCTCGACGAGTACCAGTCGCCCATCGAGGTCTGGACCTACAACTCGATGCTTCAGGCCTACTTCCGCAAGTCGTATCAAGCCGAGTCCCTCGACGGCACTGCCGAATGGCTCAACCGTGCTTGGCAGCTCTTCCGTGACATGGAAAAGTCATCAACTTCAGGTCACGGCGACCAGCCCCCATCACCGGATCCAAGCCCCAATCCGGCTTCCTTTGCCACCATGGCCCGTGGTGTTGTAGCATTGCAACGTTCCGGACGATACCCTTCTTCAGCACCAGCATTGGACGATCTTATTCTTTCCATCAAGCGCACCGAATTCGGTCTCGACCACATTCTCACTTCCTCTGCTTTCAACCCTGAGTCCGCAGAGGATCTTGATGTTCACGGTCCGCTTGGCTCCAAGAGCATTGACAAGTCCAGAGAAGGCGAAGTCGATGCTAAGTCGGTCCTTCGCAGTTTGAAGACTGTGGCCAACGAGATGGGTGAGAGCGGGATTCTCAAAGAGCTCGAGACAGCAAAGAGCATTCTCGAAGGCCGCAGAGTTCTCTCCGAAGCACAAAGCAATGAACAGGCATTCAAGGACGAGTTGTTCAGCAACCTCCCTGAACTCCTTCCCGTCAAGACGACAACAAAAACCAGTCGTCTTGGCCAGGATCTTGAGAACAAGGCTGGCGAGATGCCTTTCAACTTGGCCTCCCTCAAAGAGAACCTCTCCATTGTTCAAGAAGCCCGTCGCAGCTTCAGCGACCCTTACGAGTGTCAAAAGTGGCTCGAACACAGCGCCATCGAAGCTGCACGCAGGCGACTTGAACATTCCGCCGAGAAGCTTGAGGAGCTCGGTCTGCAAACCACCGGTGCTTTGCAGTCTAAGCCACTCCAGCGATGGATGTGGGACTGGTACAACAAGCTCCAAGCCACGCTCAAGGAGGATCTCGAACGCCTCAATCTCAATGCCAGCGATGATAGGCATGAGAAGAGGGCATCGCTGCCTCTGGAACAGCAGATTCTGCCCTTCCTTCGTTTGGTTCCGGTCTCCAAACTCGCACTCATCACCATCCTTGAGATCATGCGCATGAGCGGCAACGGCGGTGTTGCCGACGGCATGAAGACCACTCGCGCGCTATTGGCCGTGGGTCGCGCTATTGAGATGGAGTACCATTCCGATGTCGTCCGCAAGAACCCTCGGATCTTTCAAAACGCACACACTGCCCAGACCGTTCTCCGCAAGCGCGGCCTCATCAACCTCGCAGCTCGTAATGAGATCAGGGCTTGGCAGAAGCAACAAGAAGAAGAAGGTGTTCTCTCGTCTATCCCCAAGTGGACGCAGGCAGTGCGAGCTCGTGTTGGAAGCTACCTCGTGCAGCACCTCATGCACGTCGCGAATGTCAGTCGCAAAGCCACCGACCGTGACGGCGTGTTGTGGGAGGAGGACCAGCCAGCCTTCTATTCAACCTACCAGTATCTCGGTGGAAAGAAATTGGGTGTCATCAAGCTCAACGAGGTCATTGCTCAGCGTCTCGACAAGGATTCGATGCAGGAGACTCTTCATCCACGTCACCTTCCAATGCTGGTTCCCCCCAAGCCGTGGACTTCGCACGATTCCGGAGGATACTACTCGGTCCGTCAAAGCGCCATGCGTTACAAGGACAGTGCCGAGCAGGGCTCCTACCTTCGTGCGGCTTCGGACACCGGCGACGTCGACACCATCCTTGCAGCGTTGGACGTACTTGGCAACACATCGTGGAAGATCAACAAGCCCATCTTCGACGTGATGCTCGAGATCTGGAACTCAGGCAAGGATACTGCCGGCATGCCACCCGTCGATATGGAACAGCCAGAACCTCAGAAGCCAGACAACTACAACCACGACATGAAGGCTCGGTCTGTCTATCTGCAGCGTCTGAAGCAGTGGAACCAGCAATGTGCATCCAACCATTCGCAGCGTTGTGACGTCAACTACAAGCTCGAGATCGCTCGTGCCTACCTCGGCGAGCGCTTCTACTTCCCTCACAACATGGACTTCCGAGGTCGTGCCTATCCCATGCCACCGCATCTCAACCACATCGGCAATGACCTTTGCCGTGGTCTTCTCATGTTTGCTGACGCAAAGCCTCTCGGTAAGACCGGGTTGCGATGGTTGAGGATCCACATTTCCAACGTATTCGGTTACGACAAGGCCAGCTTCGGCGAGCGTGAGCAGTTTGCCATCGACCACGAGGCCGACATTCGCGACAGCGTCGAGCGAACCCTCGATGGTCAGCGATGGTGGCTAAAGGCGGATGACCCATGGCAGTGCCTTGCTGCCTGCATGGAGCTCAAGGCAGCACTTGATCACCCTGATGGGCCTGAAGCGTACGAGTCGAACTTGCCTGTCCACCAGGACGGCACATGTAACGGTCTTCAGCACTACGCTGCGCTCGGCGGTGATTTGGCAGGAGCCAAGCAGGTCAACCTTTCGCGCGGTGATCGACCCGCCGATGTCTACTCCGGTGTCGCCGATCTCGTCATCAAGATGCTTGATGAAGAAGCGGCCAAGGGCGAACGTCTCGCCACCATCCTCCAAGGTAAGGTCACACGAAAGGTCGTCAAGCAGACCGTCATGACCACTGTCTATGGCGTCACGTTCATTGGTGCCAAGAACCAAGTCATGCGACAGCTGGCTGCCCGTGGCGATGTCCCCGCAGAAGACCTCTTTCAAGCAGCAAGCTTCCTCGCCAAGATCATCATGTCGTGTATCGGTAATCTCTTCTCTGGTGCTCAGAAGATTCAGGACTGGTTGATCTTCTCCGCCAAGGTCATTGCAAAGTCGATTCCCTCTCAGCGAGTCGAGGAGGCAACACGACCTTATCAGCCTTCCGAGACAAACTTGAAGCGTGCCGATGCACGTGGCTACTCGCGAGACCCTGCCAAAGCTGATCGCATTGTCAAGGAGCAGATGACTTCAGTTATCTGGACCACCGCCCTCGGTCTTCCCGTCGTGCAACCATACCGCAAGACGAAGAAGCGTCAAATTTCGACGGCCATGCAGACGGTCTTCATCAACGACCCACACTCCAACTCGGAGGTTTCTCCAGCGAAGCAAGCCTCTGCCTTCCCACCCAACTTCATCCACTCCCTCGATGCCACCCATATGATTCTTACCGCCTTGGAATGTCATGCTGCGGGTCTCACCTTCGCTTCGGTCCACGATTCGTACTGGACCCACGCTGCAGACATCGACACCATGTCGGATATGATTCGCGAGACCTTTGTCCGTCTCCATTCGCAGGATATCTTGCATCGATTGCGTGAAGAGTTTATGCAGCGTTACGCTGGGTACAAGGTTCCTGTTATCTCACTTAAGCGCGCACGAGGCTCGAGATCTAAGGCTAACAAGAATGGCAGCGAATCCAATGCTGCTGAGTTTTCCTCGCCGTCCGACGCGGTCTTGGCCATACCAGAGGATCAACTTGCCAAGCTCAACGGTAAGACGGGTGATCTGGTTCTCTCCAAGCCCACTGCCAAGTCCGAGGATGTTGAGAAAGACGATGAAGACGCTTTTGCCCTGGACGCTAGCGAGGATGTTGAGAAAGGCGATGAAGACACTTTCGCCCTGGACGCTAGCGAGGAAGACCTTGACTCCGAAGCCGAGTTGGGAGAAGGAGAAGAGGAAGGAGTACCAAAGAAGAAGGACGGCCGCAAGACCAAGAAGGACAAGGACGAGGAGTGGGAGTCCAAGTTCAAGGCTAAGTTTGTCGACTTGGCTGACATACTTCCTCCCATCCCTGCCAAGGGTTCGTTCGACGTGAACGAGATCAAGGGCTCGCTGTACTTCTTCTCGTAACCTCAGTATTTCTTTAGCATTACTTCGACTATGGATTATTCAGGACGTCACTTCTACACCCATAGACTTATTTCCGTTTGCAATTCATCACTCGCATGTTCACAGCTCACACATTTGCCACTTCCGAGATTTTCCTGCTTGAACTGACTGTGTTGATGGCGAGATTAAGTACGGATGGGAAGATTCTTGTCAAGATATGAACGCTGGTCCCACAAGCTTGCAACAAGCTTCCTTGGTCCAGACCAAGGAGTCCTAGCGTGCTGAACAGCAAGATTGTCAATCAGGAGAACATCACCCTGCACCCATTCGACATGCGCTTGCAAGCATTCGGTCCAACGATGTGCTTCTTGCAACCAGTCGAGTGGGATTGCCTCATCCTCCTCTTCTCCTTCTTCGCTGAGTGACCGAGGAAAGGACGGAGGAGGGAAAAAGTCTCTCTTCTCTTCCGAGTAGTGAGGTGGCCGCAAGCAGCCGTGCTCTTTGGAGTAAGCGTATCGGTTACCGACGTTGTTGAAGTAAGCTGGCTTTCCAAGCGTTGGGTGGATACGAATACCGGGTACACGTTGGAAGACGTTGATTGAACCATCAGGTAGCCATGTCCATGAGAAGCCCCTTTCGTGCCATGCGCCTAGCTTGTCTTCCACTTGGTCATTCAGATCGGTGCCCCAACCGCCCTCTCGAGCAAGCTCAAGAATGTTGTCCTCGACCAACTTCCTCTTCTGTTCCTCGGTCATGCTGTCAAGATTCACCTTCTCCTCGGGTGTGGGACCGAACGAGTCAGAATTGTATAAGCTGTTGCCTTGAACACTATCCTTCACCTTGGCTACCGGATGGTGAATGACAAACGTCAGACCCTGTCTAGAGATCTTTTCGATGTATCCTGGAACGGTTGACTTGAGTCGGTCATACAGCGCCATGCTATTGACGATGGGTGTCTGGCCTCCCGAAGTAGGAGCCGAGAGACAGCAAAATGCAATGACCGAGGGATAGTGCGTGGATAGGCCGTACTCGTTGTGTGATCCGATAGACTGGTGCGGCGGGCCTTCGTTGGCGGTTGCAACGTTGGGCGCCATTTGTCGTCGAATCACCATGAGCCCCTTATCCACATGGTATTGCCAGGTATTGCTTTTTTTGGAGGGATCGCAGCCAGGTTTGACACGGCCGGCAAGAGCATGCATAAAGTTGCTGAAGTCGTTTGCATCCTGGATAGGCAGACCTTTGAAGTGGACTGCTCCACCGTGTGCGTCCATCAGGTGTTGCAGCTTGGAGGGTTGATACTCTGTCGATGGGGCCGGAGCGAACGACTTGATGGCTTCTATGAGCTCTTGTTTGGCGAGTGGCTCATCTTTGCTGCTCGTGCGAGTTGGTCTGAGAACGAGAGGGAAAGTGATCTCTGGCTCGTTAGGGTCATTCTCGACGAGCTTGAGACGTCGCTGGTAGGGCTCAAAAGAAGGTGCAAAAGCAACGTCTGAGCCTGATATGTGGATGAGGCCCGAAGCAGAAGAGAAGTGCTTTGAGCTCGTCGATGTTGCTGGTGGTGAAGTGGGCGTCAAAGCGACTGGAGCCATGATGTCGATGTGGTACTGGCTATGTTATGGACGACGTGGTCAAGACGTAGCGCGAGGGGGTCCTTCATACAGCTGTTACCTTGAACTATGACTAGACTCAGGTAGGACTAGCCGGTGCCTGAAAGCGCGAGCGAAGCGAGGCACAGGCACAGAACTGCCGATTGAGCAGCATTGGCCCCTCGGAATCATGTTGGACGATTGTGAGAGGTGCCGAAGTGCGGGGTACTGCTATGGCAAAGAGAGCGTGGTCGAGCACGCCATATTCGATGGACAGGTCAAGCTTCGGGCGAACCTGTCAAGAACATCAAGCCTCGGCAGTCGTTTAATAACTATCGGGATCGGTAAGGGACAGGAATTGTTTGGCCGGATCGGCGATGTGCAATGTTAGAGGGCGAGTTTAAACTTCGGCGAAGCTGAGATTGGAGACAAAGCCGCTTTCTCCCGGAACAATTTCCGCGCCTTTCCGAAGAGTTAGATGGTTCTGACCAGCATGACGTTCTGCAGGGTGCATATTGTGCATAAAGCATTGTGCCCGGAGAGGAGAAAGAAGAGCAGATCAAGTCGACCTGCTAGTTCGAGAGCGACTTTGGAAAGCGAAGTAGCAAACAAATGGAATTGATGGAACTGTGCAACTGTTGGGCAAGATCCGTGAATGTGCTCGATGCGCTCGGAAAGATCCTTCTCTTCAGTCAGGCAATTCTTTCCTCTGGCCTCCCCGCTCAGCCGGGCACGCTTTCCTCTTTCACCCGCCTTCCCTCGCACCTCACTGCTTTGCACTTGGTGTCTGCTCTTGCTCTGGTTTGTTTGTGAGTGTGGACAAGTGGGGATTGCCCTTGAGTCGCCTCCGCCTCCGCCCTGTTGACGGTATCGAGTGGATGAAAGTGAGGCTAAGATGCTTCAGGGATGCAGTGTAAATGTTGCCCGTCACTGTATCTCCTGATCAGTCTAGTTTATGAGCTCGTTACCCGATGCTATCAGTGACTCGATCAGATCGCCACCGCAACCTGACTCAACAAAGTGATGGATGACTGACCGATGACCGATGACCGAAAAAAGAGCGAAAGGAGACAACTGAAACGCTCTTCTTCTTCCAAACGGCGCAACTGATCTTCGAATGATAAGCGGGCAGGGCAGCGAGAGGAAACATGCTCCACTTTGACTTGAAATGGATGAACAGGGGTTCAAGTTGAATACACGTTCTGCGCCAAATTGTATTCAAGCTGACTGAGCTCGGATCAGGTTGAAATCAAAAGAGCAATGCAGTTTTACACTGAGCGATCAGAAATGTGCTTTTCCAAGAGCTTCCTTTCGTTGCGCGCTCAGGCCAGCACTTTTTTTCTGCTTTCAGTCTGTCTGTTTCTTCGGACTTTATTTTTTTACCGTAGCAGCAGCGGGAAGAAGAAGAACAGCAACAAGAGAGCCTCAGCAGCGCGATATCGATTATTCACGTTGCTGACGGTCAAGGCGCCGAGACCCGCTCAGCTCGCAGTATCTGATGCGTGTGTGCGTGGGTGGTGTGTGCGTGTGTGCGTGTGTGCATGTGTGTGTGTATGGATGATCTGGTTCGCTCGCAGAGGAAAGAACCAAGGATCAAAAACAGAGCTTCTTCGTCACCATCCTTTCTTTCGTTCCACCATCGAATTCTCTCTTTGTATCCACCAGTCACACCAAACACACTCATAATGTCCCAGGTCAACATCGGTATCAACGGGTAAGCATCTTCATTCTCCCAGCTTCGAATCCGGCTGCCATTCCGTCGCTACTCATCGTCGTCGTTGTTGTCGGCACCAGCATTGTTCGCGATGGTGATGACTCCTCTTCAAGCCATCATTGCGGGTGTCTCACACAAACTCCCATGGATGGCTGATGCCTAGCAGTATGAGCAGTTGTACTTGCCTTTGCTATCAAGTCAGCGGTTCGTGCAAACTTTGTCTCACCCTAAGGGTGCCTCATCTTAGGATGGCGCACGGACACACGAACCAGATGAGTTCGTCTCTGACCGAGCAAATGCAGCGTCGAACGGCGCAGTCCGGCTTCTGTGGTATATCTTTGCGCATGATAGAATTAGAATACTAACGCTTGTTTCTTTTTACCTTCAAATTGTATCATCGTCTCCCACACAGCTTTGGCCGCATTGGACGTATCGTCTTCCGTAACTCGGTCGTCCACGACAACGCCCACGTTGTTGCTATCAACGATCCCTTCATTGACCTTGATTACATGGTCTACATGCTTAAGTACGACTCCACCCACGGTGTCTTCAAGGGTGACGTCTCCAGCAAGAACGGCAAGCTCATTGTCAATGGCAAGGAGATCGCCGTCTTCGCCGAGAAGGATCCCGCTTCCATCCCCTGGGGTCAGTCCGGTGCCCACTACGTTGTCGAGTCCACCGGCGTCTTCACCACCATCGACAAGGCCTCCGCCCACATCAAGGGTGGTGCCAAGAAGGTCGTCATCTCGGCTCCCTCGGCTGACGCTCCCATGTATGTTTGCGGTGTCAACCTCGACTCGTACGACCCCAAGGCTCAGATCGTCTCCAACGCCTCGTGCACCACCAACTGCCTTGCTCCTCTTGCCAAGGTCATCCACGACAAGTTCGGCATTGTCGAGGGTCTCATGACCACGGTTCATGCTACCACCGCCACCCAGAAGACCGTCGACGGTCCCTCCGCCAAGGACTGGCGTGGGGGTCGTGCCGCTGCTGCCAACATCATCCCCTCCTCCACCGGTGCCGCCAAGGCCGTCGGCAAGGTTATTCCTTCGCTCAACGGCAAGCTCACCGGTATGGCTTTCCGTGTCCCCACCACCAACGTCTCGGTCGTTGACCTTACCGCCCGCCTCGAGAAGGGTGCCAGCTACGACGAGATCAAGGCCGAGATCAAGCGTGCTTCCGAGAACGAGCTCAAAGGTATCCTTGGCTACACTGAAGACGCCGTTGTCTCGCAGGACTTTGTCGGCAACCCTTACTCGTCCATCTTTGACGCTGCTGCCGGTATCTCGCTCAACAACAACTTTGTTAAGCTCGTTTCGTGGTACGATAACGAGTGGGGTTACTCGAACCGATGCCTTGACCTCCTCGTCTTCATGGCCCAGAAGGACAGCGCGTAGGTGTAAGCATGCTCTGCATCTCTTTCCCCCAGTCTTCTCAGATGTAAACTTGTTCACATCTTGTTGGGAAAAAGGAAGAAAAAAAAATAATCCAAAGCTTGTTCTAACTGTTCTCCATTTGCTTTGCCTTGCGCTTTGTGTGCTGTGTGATCGCTTGTCTTGACCTTGCAGTGGGACCTCAAGATTGTGATTTCTCTTCCATCCGCACCTCGTTCATGTCAAATCCGAACTGTTGCATCTGTTCCCACTTGATTTCTTCGAATGAAACAATTGAATGACGATAATAGACGACACAATGTAGCAGGGATGAAGCCTGCGTCTTGTTTGTGAATAGAGTAGAGCAGACCATAGGCGGTTCAAGCATGAGTTTCGCCGCAGATAAGCCGAGGACGAGGTGTGATTGTGTGCTGTGATGAGGAGGAAGCCAATGCTGCGTTTGGTGACAGAGTTGGGTCATGGTCAAAGGTGGTGGAAAATCCTAAAAAGCAAAAACAAAAACAAAAACAAAACAAAAAAAGTCCACGTAGAAAAAGAATTGAAGATAACAATTAGTATACGGCGTTATCGGGGTCACGATCAGACTCCCTTTACCACAGCCGTATGTTCTATGTAATGCTTAGTTTTTGTAGTGTGAACCTAAATGACAAACACATATATATACTCCACCCACTGCTCTAGTCCTATCCGAGACAGGATGTGTCACTTCATTCATACTCCTGTGTTGCTATGATACTGAGTGCCACTGAGCTGTCGCCATGACAACAGTCATGTACCTCATTGTGCTTCTCAATTAAGTAAGCCTCCTGCACCTCGGTGTCTCGGCCGTGACACATGCATCTTGCTTGAGATGCTGACGCATCTTCAACTCCCCCCTTCGGCGGGATCTCCAGCCCTATCATCCTAGCCAATCGTGAGGTGTTGAGACCCTGTAAAGGTTTTGTCAAGACATCTGCAACATTGTTTGCTGTTCCAACATATTTGATTGCCACATCGCCCTCTTGCATGTGATCACAGATGAAATGATACCGTGTGTTGATGTGCTTTAACTTCCAATGTTTGGCTGGATCTTTACTCACCTGTATGCACCCCTGGCTATCTGTGTATAGCACGGGCCGAACGTCCGTGATCTCCAAGTCCCGGAGCAAATATGAGAAGAACAATGTTTCTTGCACCGCTTCGGAAGCGGCGACAAACTCTGCTTCGACTGCTGACAATGCCACACACTTTTGAATGTGAGATTTCCAACTCACCGGACATCCATACACATATGTTATCGACCCCGAGGTGCTCCTTCGTCCATTTGTGGGGTCGGATGCCCAGTTTGCATCAGTATACGTCGTTACCGGTGTATCCGAGTGCTCGTTTGTCTCCCCTCCTAAGTGCAACTGATATTCGTTCATTTGGTTCAGGTACTTTACCACGTGAATGGCTGCCTTCCATGCACTGTTGATCGGGATCGACATATATCGCGACAATACGCCAACAGCAAAGGCAATATCTGGTCGGGCTGTGTTGGAGACCCATAATAGTTGGCCGACCAACTCTTGATACTTCTTTGCTCGCTGAGGTTCACATCTCTCGCCTCCGGCGATGTTCGCTACACTCAGCATGGGTACCCAAGATTTCTCGTTTGCTCCTCCTAACCATTTGTTCACCATTTCTTTGATGTATGCTGTTAGGTCCAAAGATATCCTCCTCCGTCTTCTATCACGTGTGATCTTGATACCCAGAAATTCTTTGATCCTTCCGTTGTCTTGCGTCTCCCATTTATCCATGATCTCTCGCTTAGTGCAGTCTACTTCATCATGACTGGGTGATGTTATCAGCATGTCGTCCACGTATGCTGTGATGATCGTGATCTTGTCGCCTGTCCCTCTTGAGTATAGGCATGGTGCGCTCGGCATGCAATGAAATCCGATCGTCTGGAGATGTGAGTCTAACTCAATGTTCCATTCTCGGCCTGATTGTTTCAGACCATACAGTCCTTTCACTACCTTCAATGCTTTTCCAGGTGGTATTTTGATTCCTACTGGGGGCTTGAGATATACATCATGGTGTATAGTGGAGTTCAGGTATGCTTGCTTTACATCAATAGAATCTATTTCCCAATCTCGTACTGCTGCGACAGCGATCACCCCTCGAATGGATTGGATGGGTGCTACTGGTGCGAAGACCTCTGTGTAGTCGATGCCCTCGCGTTGGGTGAAACCTCGTGCCACAAGCCGGGCTTTGAACTTTGTCGGCACGAGGTTTGCATCGGTTTTGATCTTGAGTACCCAACGTGTGTCGACGGTGTTTGCACCCTTTGGGAGGTCGGCTATCTCCCATGTGCCCATCGCCTCCAATCCATCCAGCTCCTTTCGCATGGCCTCCTCCCAGTGCTTTTTGTCTTCTCCACTCATTGCTTCATGTATGGTTGGGTCCAGGTTCTTTCTCCATTCCGGTCGCGTCGCTACGAGTCCAAAGAATTCGCTGTCAATCTGAGTTTCGGCGGTTGATCCTTGTTCCATCACCTCCGCTGTTCCTCCGCTTAACCTTTCTTCTGAATCTGTCTCCATATCCATGTATTCTTGTAGTGGCCCTTCATCTGTTTCGTCGAATATATTTTCTTTGTTGTATCCTAGATCTTCGAAATTTTCTTCTGTCATCATCACTGGAGGTGCCTTTGTGTCAACCGGTCGCCACTCTGTTCTGTCTGACCAGCACTTTGATTCCATGAATTTTGCTGAATTGCTCCAGAACATGTTCGGATTATAGTCCGGACTGTAGAAGAGCCAGCCCTTTCTCTCTAGACTGTATCCCAAGAAAATGGATGCGACGGCTCGCTGGTCCAGTTTCTTGTTGTCCCGTTTGACTTTGGGTACGTTTACCCATGCCAGACAACCAAACACTCGTAGGAGCTTTAAAGCTCGTTCCGGCGACTTGCCAAACATTGCTTGATAAGGGAATTCATTATCAACGCTCAGAGTGAGGTTTATTTTGAACGCCGCAGCTCTGATCGCGTATGGCCAGAACTTCTTCGGTAGTCTCCTCTGCATTAGCAACATTCTCATCTTCTCTCCAAGGGTCCTGTTCATTCTCTCTACCTGTCCATTTTGTTTGCTGTTGTACCCTACGGTGGTTTGCCACTCTATGCCCTTTTCTAGTGACCATTCTAATGCATCATTGCTTTTCCATTCCGTTCCTTGATCGGATCGGATCGCTTTTAGCTTCCGATCCGTCTGTGTCTCCAGGAACGAAACAATCCTTTTGAGTTGCATAAATGCATGACTCTTTCGTGTCAATGGCTGTGCATACACATACTTGCTATGATCATCGACCAGCACCAACGTGCATGTGTACTCCGTCACGTGGGATGAGTCTATTATTAGATCGACGTGGATAAGATCCAGGGGCCCTATGGCTCTTTCGCTGCTACCTTTCCCCATCCGAGCGCTTGTGCTCTTGGATCGTATGCACTGCTCACATGTCAGAGCAGTGTTTGGATCCAATTTCATGGTATGCTTATCTTTTAACTTGCTCGTGATCGCCTTAGCTTTATCTCTTCCTGGGTGTCCAAGACGCTCATGCCATAGTTGTTGCTTTGAAACTTTCGGCTCATTCTTAATATGCTCGAACTCCTCATCAACACCTTCAAACAATGGTGCTGATGTGGCCATCGTGCTTTCTTGCCATGTGTCACCTCAGAACTCCAAAAGTCCTCGCTCGCGATTCTTTGCAATCTTAAGTGTCATGCCATTTGTTAGAAAAATTTGACCGCCGGTTGTGTCCAATATCACTCGTGCTCCTTCATCCATTAATGAATTCGTTGACAGAAGGTTAACATTAAGGTGCTTTACATACAATACATTTTGTAGGGAGATTTCCCCGTAATCTGTTGATATGCTTGCATCTCCTATAGCTGCCGCTTCCAAGACCTCGCTTCCGGCAGTAATTATCCGCTTTCGGCAAGTTCTCGGGTGGATGAGCATGCTGTAGTCATTCACCATATGATAACTCGCCCCCGAGTCCAAGATCCAATGAGCTGTTTCTTTTGTGTTCGAGGGGTCTTGCCATTTCAATGGGAGGGTGAGGGAGCACCACACTTCCTATTTAGGTTCAGCGAGGGGGGAGTCTTTGGGAATGGTGACCAAGGCGTCGCATTGACTAATACCATGTCCCAGTCACTTGCAGATCCAGCATCGGATTCGGTGTGGTCTGCCTGCGTTCCTCGAGCTCGCATGGCTGTTGTCGGCTTTGGCTTCGGTCTCTCCAGCCTGTTCGTTTTGATCGTCGTTGCCGGCGGTTCTAGCACTGGCTTGTCAGGGGTCGATCTTTTGTGCGGGGACGCTCTCGACAGCGGTCTGCCGGATACTTAGTGCAGTGGCAAGGGTGTTGAAATCGATTTGATGAATGGTGGCAACCATCTCCTTGTACACCGGATGCCGGATCGTGCATTTCTGCAGAGCCGAGAACAATGTATCATCGGCGAATGGTTTGCAGAGGAGGCTGCTTTCAGTCTGTATGGACTGGATCTCTTGAATTAGCTTTCTGGCGTCCAAGTGAAACATCTTTGTATCGTTGAGCTGCGAGATGAGCGCAAGTCTGTGAGACATCTTGGTGGCTTCATTCGTGAGACCGTTTTCGATCTTTCTCCATACTTGGTTGAAAGTAAGGTACTCCTTGATTACATCTAGAACGAGGTAATTTACATTGTATTCCCCGGTAGTGTCAATTGTTCCACGCAGGGCGTTGATTAAAGCATCATTGAGGGAGCGGCTCCATTTCAGGTGCTTCTTGTCGTACGTTCCCTTGAGATGTTTCATCGCATGGGGCACGGATCGGAGGAAAGATTTCACGTGAGCGCTCCAGCTATAATAGTTTCGTGACGTGAGCTTTGGCATGGGTTCGAGGAGCTTTGCTAGGGTGTGAAAGTTATATCGCTTGTCGCCATCATCAAAGTCGGAGTCGGAATCGGTGTCTTCGTCGGCTTCATTGTTGATGGCCTCCGGCTTGTTCTCATTCGTGGCATTATTGTCGACCCGAACCTGGGTGTTCTTGCCCTTTCTGCTTCCTTTGGTCCTCGTTTCGGTGTCTTCTACCATGGTTGTCGATGAGTTTCGGTTAGCTTGGTGATAGCTTCTTCAGACTCTTAATCAATTGAAGATAACAATTAGTATACGGCGTTATCGGGGTCACGATCAGACTCCCTTTACCACAGCCGTATGTTCTATGTAATGCTTAGTTTTTGTAGTGTGAACCTAAATGACAAACACATATATATACTCCACCCACTGCTCTAGTCCTATCCAAGACAGGATGTGTCACTTCATTCATACTCCTGTGTTGCTATGATACTGAGTGCCACTGAGCTGTTGCCATGACAACAGTCATGTACCTCATTGTGCTTCTCAATTAAGTAAGCCTCCTGCACCTCGGTGTCTCGGCCGTGACACGTGCATCTTGCTTGAGATGCCGACGCATCTTCAACTAAAAGTGAACTCAAAAAAGCCACCCAAAAAGAGCACAAAAAATGGTACGATCTTGGTCTTGATCTCGATCGGATCCATGTCTCCTTTCACAGCAACAGGAATAGCTCCAAGCACATGCCTCGTGGGCCCAGAGCATATCTACCTGGAGGCTTGCTTCGTGTTAAGTGGCGCTACGATAGTGGACGAGATACGAAGGGTGCAATGTTAAGCCGTAGAAACGGACGTGCGGCGGAAAGGAGTATGTGACTGCCACTCCGGTCTGTAAGTCAGAATGCCAGAGAATGCCAAGACAGACGACGGCGAGGATGACAGCCAGCGAGAGGGAGGAGCGAAAGATTATTCATAAGCCGCCGCGACTGCCTCGTCCGGCCTCCGACGTTGCCACGAGCACCTGAAATCGTCGTGATTCCCACGGAGATCCAGATTTGACGGTTCAGCAGCTGCAAAAGGAGTCAAAGGCTAAACGAGAGGTTGTCAAATTCCACACCAAGTGCTTAGCGTAAGTCGCATTAAGACCGTCGTCTCAGGGCCTCAAAGCTTAGAAATTCTCCGAAAAGTGACGTGCCCCCGAACAGACGGCAACATGTGCTGGAAATTTCATTACTCAGGTTCTGCCGCCCCGTCTTGATTTTGCTCACGTCCAACTTTGCAGCAGCAGCAGGCATATCCCGCGATCCGCGGCGCTCTGGATTACCTTACCACACACGATACAGTAGCTTTCACTCGAGTCGATGACCCTTATGGTCAGGCTATGATTCACGTCTGACACGAATACATGCTGTCAAGACCTTCTCTATCCCACCCAGACCTTCTTCTAGCAAAAATTTCCCTTTGTTCATTTGCTTTTGCCTCTTCTCCCGCTTCGCCCGTCCTTCGAACGAGATCGAAGATCGATGCCAAGGGCGAACCGTGTACTCATCACTATCGTGGCTTGTCTCTTCCTCCATTGTTTGCAAACAAACCCGCGGAAGAACACGTCTAGCTCTGCTGCTGATGAACGACTGACTTGCCGTGCTGTTGCTTTCTCGGCTGTCCAGCCTGCGTTTGTCCAGATCCTCATATCCGTCCACGAGCGCAAAGAATCTTGAAATCCCTGCGCATCATCCCATGAGCAAAAGTAAGCTTGTTTGTGACGAGGGGCTGGATGGAGCTACTGCAGTAGAGTCCCTTCGTTCCTCGATCATTTCTTCTATTCCGTCAGCCTGTTCCTTTTGCGCTTACCCTTCTTGGCACTTCCGCATAATATAAACAAAGCTAGCGTTCCTGACACGACTCCCCCTTGTTGTCCTGCTCAACACCAATAACTCCTTCCACCCTCCGGTACCTCCTCGCTGTCCCATAGCCGTATACCTGCCAAGTGAAGAGCAAAGATGTCGGCAACCGCCGACAACCTTCATCACCAATCGGATCCTCACAACCCCAAGGAGCGTCCGCAACCGCAACACGCTCGCCCATACAAGCTGCCTTGGTACAAGGATACCGTCTGGAGCATACTTGCAAACAAGCTGACCAAGGGCAAAGCACTGCCTTTCCCTGAAGAGCGTGAAGACTTTGTACCTCCCGGGCAGTACCTCCCAGGCTACCAAACACGCCACGCCAATTCCAACGTTCAGCAGCGAACGGGATCGCATGACTCTCATCTCTCCAACAACAATGGTGCCTCCTCAACTGCCGCATCTGCTTCGCGTGCAACTGAGGCTACCCACGTCAACCCGCACAGTAGCAACAACAAGGACAGGTCCGGCAGCGCTTCACCTGTGCAGCGCCAATCCAAGGACGAAAACGCCGAGTCTGCACCAGACGACATAAACGATGACTCCCATCCTTACCTCATCGATTGGAACGGCCCCAATGACCCCGACAACCCCCTCAACTGGTCCATGGCTCACAAGTCCTTCGTGACATTTCTCCTCTGTCTCCTCACCTTCTCCGTCTACATGGGTTCCGCCATCTATACCCCTGGTGTCCAACTCCTCGCTAACTGGTTTGGCGTCGGCACCGTCACCGCAACCCTCGGTCTTACTCTTTTCGTATTCGGCTACGGTTTGGGCCCAATGGTCGGTTTAAGTTCGATGTCTGAAATCCCCGCCTTCGGACGAACTATGCCCTACTTGATCACCCTGTTCCTCTTTGTCATCCTCCAGGTTCCCACCGCGTTGGTCAACAATATTGCAGGATTCATGATTCTTCGTTTCCTCGCAGGGCTCTTTGGCTCGCCTCCCCTCGCTACAGGTGGTGCTAGTATCGGAGACGTGTACGCTCCCAGGAACAGACCTCTGGCTATCGGTGTATGGGGTCTTTCCGCTGTGTGCGGTCCAGTGCTCGGTCCTTTGATCGGTGGTTTCGCCTCTCAGAGCTTCGGTGCTGAGGGCTGGAGATGGACCATCTGGCCTCTCCTCATGCTCTCGGGTTTCACTCTTGTCGTCCTCATCTTGACGCTTCCCGAGACTTCGTCTTCCAACATCCTCTTCCGACGTACACAGCGTCTTCGAAAGTTGACTGGCAACCCACATCTCCGCTCCAAGGGCGAAATCCTCTCCTCTCACCTGACCGGCAAAGAGCTTGCCCTCATGACCTTCGTCCGTCCATTCGCCCTCTCCTTCAAAGAACCTATCGTCCTCGGCATCAACTTGCACGTTGGGTTGGTGTACGGCATCCTCTATACTTTTTTTGAGGCCTTTCCAATCGTCTTCATTGAGACCTACGGATTCAACTACGGTGAACTCGGTCTTGCATTCATGGGTATCTTCGTCGGCGCCATCTTCATCTATTTCCCCTTCTGGCTCTGGCACAAGTATTCCTACGGACCCCTCTTTGACAAGCAAAACGGTAAAGTGGCTCCTGAAAAGTGGCTCGAGCCTGCCATTCTAGGCGCTTGGGCAATCCCAATCTGCATGTTTGGTTTCGGCTGGACAGCTACCGCTTCCATCCACTGGATTGTACCTATCATCTTTTCGGCCTTCTTTTCCATCGGTACTTTCTTGATCTTCCAGTCGGGTCTGGCCTATCTTGGCGACTGTTACCCCGACTACATCGCTAGTGTCTACGCTGGTAACGACTTCTTCCGTGCAAGCATCGGTGGCGCTTTGCCTTTGGTCGCCAGAGCTATGTTCAACAACTTGCAGGCTAACGGTCCCCGAGCATTCCCTGTCGCTTGGGGAAGCGTTTTGATGGGCTGCATCTCTATCGTTATGGGTCCCATTCCCATCCTGCTGTACAAGTATGGTCCCAAGCTTCGAACCATATCCAAGTACGCTCTCGATCCCAGCGGTGGCTCAGAACAGTCGAGCGAGAAGCAGGCCAGCAATTAAAATCACGACTCGGCCGCTCCAATCTTCTGTCTTTGATTCATCGGAAAACATAACATGCATACGATCCAATAGATGTGATGCTGTATTTGTGAGACTCAGTGCGAAAGTCGCCCCTTTCTCCCCAACGAGGATCAGTGCTGAGCACGAGCGTGGTGAACATGGCATGTCAAACTAGCTTTTGGTTCAGAGGCGGCGGATCATACACAGGCGAGTTTGACAGAGTTGGGTAGAGAGACAAGAATTGCAGAGATAAGGGGGATGCTACATGAGAGGCAAGACACGTGTGGACGAGATAAGAAATAGCACGATCAGTGCCAGCCGATATACTCAACGTTGTATTCAGCGTGCACCTTCGTGAGTCGGTCCCAATATGACGAGGGCAGATGCGCAACGAGGCGACGCACAAAGGGAACACGCTCCAGCACCATGAAGATAGGCGGGAGGACGACCTCGGGACCATCGCCTCCGCGGTCCAAGTGCGAGATGATGTTGACTGGAGTCTGCTCGGGAAGCATAGTGCCAGGTCCAGTGTAGACCTTTCGAGTGTCGTTGGTAAGTTGGACTTCCTGACCAACATGGGCAAAGTGAAGCTGACTGATCGAACTGATGTGCCTGAGGGTGTTGTAGTCGCCAAAGTCTGGGAGTAAAGTGGCAACAGCGTCGCGGCGGTTCGTGACACGCCAGAGCGTCTGCGGGTGGTCGAGGTCTCTATCGTGCACGGCTTGATTGAACGCCGAGATGCAATCAGGGTCACCAACAATGGGCGTACCAAAGCAATAGGCGTCTCGGACATACACCTGGTTGCCGCCATCATCATTCAGGCCGAAGTCTTTAGGGGAGGCGATAGCGCGGGAATAGAAGATGCTGGCAAGAGCGGCACCGAGGCTGTGTCCTGTGACGTAGAGGTTTACATGGTTGCGGAAGGATGTGGCACGAATCTCCTTGACGATCTCGATAAGTGAAGAGCGGATCTCGGAGTACGGGAAGGCACCTGTGGCGTGGTTGAGCTTCTGTGGGAAGATCTGGTTGTAAAAACCGGCATGGATCTTTGTGAAGCCAGGAAGCCAAGCGCGACCATCCGTGTAGTCAAAGGTAAAGTCGATAGCCCATTCTTTGAATTCGACCGGGTTGGTACCTTTGAATGCGAGGATGATGAAGTTGTAGTCCGGATGCCAGAAGGCACCGCACAGGGGAGAAGTGTTGGTGGCCAGCTCCGAGATGCTGGCGTAGTTGAGACCCCATTTGTTGGCAACCTTGTTGATTTTGCGATCAGCTGTACCGAGCTTTTTGTAGGCATCTTTGCCAGCGTCGGTAAGGGTGTCATGTCCGACCACAAGCGACTTTTTCATCTTTTTGCTACGACTCACTGAGCGAGCAGCATCGTGATAGGCACCAACGTCTCGCTCGTAGACAAGAGCCGAGAGCATCATGAGGAGCTTAGAGACCTCGAGGTCAAAGGTGCGCTCTTGATCGCTGGAAGGTCGAGCAAAAGTTCCGGTCGGATCAGACATGACTGCGAAAGCTGCATCGCGAATCAGCTTGTTCTGAGGGTCGGCTCCAAATTCGAAGATGAGAGGGTATGCTGATGGGTCGAAAGATGAAGAGATCGAGGAAGGGGGGGGGGGGGGGGGGGGGTGCCAAGGGGGTCAGTGGCTCGGATGCGCGAAGTTCATTGTCTGCGTGCTTCTGACACATACCATAGTTGCCAAGGCCAATGTCCTTCTTAGCAGAGAGAGGTCGCCAGACGGACTGAACAACGGGGAGCCTCCATACAGCACTTCAAACACAGAGAAAGGTAGGAACAATAACTTGTTGTGTTAGCTGAGTTGATGGACAAGGTTCACCAGCAAATTCATCAGCACCCACGATGCTCTCAGATCGAAATGTAGCTTACCTCACGATCGAACCGATGAAGAGAATGAATGTGGTTGCAACGGCGAACGTGAGCGTACTCCACAGGCCGACTGGGTCAAGGAGGAGGGCGGGCAAGCTGGTCAGAGTGTTCCACCAGGTTCGAGGGAGCCATACCAAGAAGTAGTAGGCTACCTCCAAAGCTGTAGTGCTGAACCAGCCGAGAATGCCAGTGCCACGATCCGAGACGTGCGAGAGCTCAGCGACCTGCTTCCTGTGAAGATGTTCGCAGAGGTCGGCATGCTTGCCACGATGGCCAGGACCGATGAGAGGTTGCGAGTTGGTGGGGGCACACTTTCGAACGTCTGTGGCCGCGGAAGGTGCATCATCTGCCATGCTTGGATGAGAATGAAGCTGAGCCTTGTCCGACGAAGTGATTGGAGCGGGAAAGAGGGCGTTTGGGGTCGTTTGAGTCGTTGAAGGGAACTCTTTATACTTTTCACGGCAACGACCTTTGCGTGATCACGAGTCTTGGCCGATTTCACAGCTCCAACCTCAGGATCTTGAAAGGCAAGCCTGCGACTGAGCCGAGCAAGGGTGTGATGATCGGAGAGGAGCCCGGTCGGCGACGATGACGTGAGGCGTAGGCTGACAGGGCGGCGTCGCGTGCTCCGATGGCGACCGGTGAGAAGCTGGCAGAGTTCAGCCCTTGAGGCCAAGAAACCAAGCAGAAGCGTGTGTATCGACGAGGGCTAGGAACAGAACGAGGATGATGACTCTTTAGCATGGCGAAACTCAACAAAAGGTTTCCCGTGGAAGAGCGGAAGGTTGCACTGCCATGATGCTGGCTAACTTAGGACTGAATGTGCACAGACTGCCGAAATTCGAGAAGAAGCAGGGGAAGCGGTTAGACGACATGGCTTCTTTTGCTTAAAGTTGCCTGTCCCTTGCTTCTCCGCGTGTTATTAGAGAGGTTTCGGTTATTTAGCTACGACCAACGACGAACTCGTAAGCGAGTACGTCAGGGAGGTGGAGATGAGGGTGGTTCGGAAGCAACGACATTGTCAACAACCAACTCGGTTTTCGGACTGCGCAACTAAAAAAAATTCAGAAAAAAAAAACTATCCACGTGACGCGCCTGGTCGATTAATAAGCATGAGCTTACCAACCCGCGGCCCTCGGAACCGGCTGTTACAGTGAGATCCGTGAGCTGGCGAATGGTAGTAACTCGTGGTCGCGATCAGGCACGGGCCGGTAAAGTTAAGGTTCACAGCCTTCGGTCTCTATTACCCCGTATTTCTCTCACTTCATATACCCCACAATCAGCGCACTGCACTGCCGACAGCATGAACAGCAGCCAAGTCGCCGCTTCCGCACTCAGCACACTACCTCCTGTTGTGTCTGAAGAGCTGCAATCGCTCTCACGCAGTGGGGAGCTTGCAAATGTTATGGATCAAGTTGACGAGAATGAGGAGTTCCTTGCCGACGTCGACTGGCCAGCAAATCCACCACCGCCGCAAGGACCTCTTGTAACTAGTGCATCAGCATCAACTCCTGTATCTAGTTCACAAGCACCTCAAGCAATACAAAACAGTTCATTATCACGCTCTGCTTCACTGTCTGGGTCTCAGGGTTCGACACTCACGGGCAATCCTCAGTGGGATCCTGTTTCGATGGAGATCCTTGCCAAGGCCGTGCTCAACCGCAATCCAAACCACGCCCGCAACAACAGCGCAAAGGCGTCTGTGTGGGAGCCGATCTATCAAGAGTACAAGGCAGCATGTCGACAAAAACGTCTTCCTTTTCGTGAACTGTCTGCCACAAAGAAGAAATGGCGTGACATGGTAAAGAAGCGCCGAGGACGACATCAACTGAATGCTCGCTCCACTGGCGGTGTTGGAACGACGTCGGTGACAGAGAAGCTTATTGACGACTTCATTGCCACAGAAGGTGTCAATACAGCTGCAGCCCGTCGATCTCTTCCAAGCACGCCAACACCAAGATGCCGACGCCGTTTCGTGGAACTACCGGTTGATCGCGATCGACAGCAGTTTGCTGAGATTGCTCGCAACACAGGTGACGGAGGCCCAGCAGCAAGGTCTTTGACAACGCCAAGTGAAAGGGCTAGCCAGGAACACTCGGTGACTTCTGAGTCAGGGGATGATAGGGTTGGCATGCAGGTACGAAAGCGACCCAGGAACACCACAGCCGACGTGCTGTCTTCGATTGCTGAAGGCATGGAAATACACCGACAGCATGAACGTTTTTTTCGGGATAGACAGCTTCGATTCATGGAAGAATCACTCAAGGCTCAAATGGAGCTGTCAAAGGCACAGTTGAACGTCCAAACACGTGGACAAACAGAGATTCAAACGAAGATGGAATCGTTGGACAATCGAATGCGAGCAAGCCAGGAACAGACCGACAGGTTGGAGTCAATGGTATCAACAATGATGAGCATGATACGATCAAACGCCGCTGCAGGGCCCTCATGTGGCCAGAGACATCGCCGCAGCTCTAGATCCCGCTCCTCATCTCGTACAGAAGTATATAATGGTTTCGAACCCTCATCAGAACAGTGAATGTATATATCATTGCAATGCTATAGTACATTCTCCACAAGCGTCTCATCCTCGTTATCTGCCATAGCCTGTGATGGTACCCCGCTCTGAGACAGGGTGGGGTCCGGTGACACTATTGTTCGCCTTACCCGCCAGTTGCTGAAGTACTCTTCGAGGCTTGGTGGGGAGCAGTGAGGCCTCATGCTCACTTGGTTGCCGACAAGGCAGGTTTTTGCATTGAAGAGCAAGACGCCGACAAGCCAATCTTGTCCCACCGGCGTCAACCCGGTCTTCTGCTCCCGTTTGACGAAAAAACGCGGCCATTGCCGGGGTATCATACCAATAGACCATTCAACCTGTATACGAAACTTGTTCATGATGTGATTGAATGCATCTTGCATTGAACTGATGATGTTTCCTCCAAATGCCGTGACAATCGCTGCTGAGTTGCCATATGCTTGGTCCCCGTACAGATACATCTGCTCACCGGCTTCGTTCTTGGCGTTGTCTCTAGCCCAGCCCACAAGGTCTGTTTCTGCAACAACGTATGCATCATGGCGTCGATCAACGTACGGCATTGAGCAAAAGATCAGACCGTTTGGCAGCGAGATGAACTGATACTTGAGAGCATGACATTGTTTGGGACCGTTATACACAGTCTCCTGCTGAAAAACAGGCATGGCAATTGGTCGAACAGTATCATCAATTGCACCCCAGAACCTCGGAAGCTTGAACTTCCGCTGCACGGCTGCAGCATACTCCTCAAGCTTCCGAGGACAAACAAGCCGGTGTCGCGTTGATTGAACGCCCAGTAGGTGACCCCACCTCCGGTAGATCCACCTGCTAAGGTGTCGAACCACGCGGCTTATCCACGGGTGGGACCAACCGTACTGGCTTTCCAGAGACCGGAGAGACCGGTTCCGAAAGAAGGCACACAGCAGGAAGAAGGAAGACTTGCTATCAACACAGTCTTGCTCGCGTGTTCGGACAGGGTTGGGGATCTTCAATGCATCATGTATTGCTTCGAATTGTGCGAACGTGAAGCCTGTGTCGCCAAGGAAGTGCGACTGGTCAAGCTCTCGTTTGATCCTGCTGTAGCGGCGAGGCTCCAGGTTGGTTGGTGGCGCCCGCTGCGAGGCAGGAATTAGGGTTATGAAGTCAAAGTATTCACCGGAAAGTGTGTCACCGGTGTCCAACATCTGCATGATCGCGTCGAGAAGGTCCGTGTATCAACGGAAACGACAATACAACCGCAACATTAAGGTTCTTGAGATTGTGGGGTAAGAGAGATATGATGGTATTACTACAACCACAGCACAGGTCGGACGAGGATGGGGGCAATCACGTGGTTCATTTCTCACTATACTTTCACACTCCACTCATCATTAGTAAGCATTCATGTTACATTCCTCGCAAAAACATGCCATCGCCCAACTGCTGCTAATGTACAAGGTTCTTGGTCTGCGTCCACGCCCTACGTCGACTTGGCTTAACCTCGTGTGTGATAGATTCGTGCCTATAATCTAGATGACTGTATCTAATTCAAGCTGTTTTGAGCTTGCTTGGCCTTTTCACGCTCTTGCTTCTTCATCTTGCGTTCCATCTCAAGGAATGCTCGCATTGTCGGGTCCAAATCACCAATCACACGATCCACTTCACGTTGTGCTCTTTCCTTCATATCCTCTTCCGATGATGCTGCCGTGTTTGCTGCTCCGGCACTACTTTCAGCGGAAGCAGGATAGTCACCGAGCAGATCCTCACGCCATTCTTCGCGTGTGACAGGCGGTGAAAGCTGTGCCAGCTGGTTCCGCACCGATGAAAGTCGACTGTGGAAGTCCTCGAGATCTTCGGCGTAAATGTCGTAGGAGCAATGAGCACAACCAGACATGCAGCATTCTTCTGGCCCCGGCGGGGGAGGCTTGAGAGGGACCACAATGCCTCGGATTGTCGTAGGGCCCATGCTGATGCTTGGCTGGGCGTCCGCGTCCTCTGCGGCTGCACTGCTGCTGCCATGGCTTGGTTGCGTCTCTGCTGTGCTCACTTCAGCCGGTGTTGCTCCTCGACTGAGGTCAATGCCAGCTTTGCTGTCAGACTCGACGACATTAGCTGGCGTCTCTTGCATAGAAGCTGACGCTGTAGGGCCTGCGGCCAGTGATTCGACCTTATCTCCGACTTCAAGAGAGCCTGCGGAAGGGCCCTCTGCTTGCTGAGAGATCACGATCTTAGAGCGCGGGAAACGATCTGTCAGGTTTCGTCCGTATCTTCGCCTTTCGAGGCGCGTTTGTTCCTGCTGTTGTGCAGCTCGAAAGGCGTTATGAAAATATCGGCGCTGCTCGGATGAAAATGAGCCAAATGGACTGCTTGCGTTAACAGTGCTCGAGTTTGATGAAGAGGCAATGGCAGGCTCCGGACCGAAGGAATAGTCGGCTTCGATCTGTTCAAAGAGCGTTCGACAGCTGACATGTGCTTTCAGGCGGGCACATAGAAGGAATGCACCGCTGAGCTTGCGATTGAGACTGTATGTCTCCTGTGGCGGTGGAGTGAGTCGTTCTCGAAGCATCAAAGGAATCTGGGCTTTGACTCTATCCGTGATGGTCTGGTGCTCGAACGGATATGGGTTCGGTGCATCTGGACGGAAAGGTTCACCAAGAGCAATCATCGAATCGACATGAGCTCGCTCCATTCCTGGGCTCTCCTCGCCAGTGAGGTACCCTACTTTCCTCGACCAAGTCAGACATTCTTCGTAATCACCAGCAATGGCCGCTTGCAACATCTGCAGCCAGTTGTCCATAAACTCCTTCGAGTATTCTCTGGTGGCGCCAAAATCGATCAGCTGGATCTTGCCCGTCCTCTCGTTATAGAGGAAATTCGACCAGTTCGGATCTGTTTGCATTAGACGGAAGCGGAACAGTTCCGAGAGCGACAGGTTCAAGATAGACTGGGCGATGCGGTCTCGCATATCTTGAGGATATCGCGATGCTTGGCTCAGAGGCCGTCCACGCATCATCTCTGTGGTAAGCACTTTACCCGTGCAGAGGCTGTCGACCACCTTGGGCACCTCGAACTCGGAGGAGTCTTTCAAGATAGCACCAAAGCGTCGTCCCATCTCAGCTTCTCGCTCGTAGTCACACTCATCCTTGAGCTCGCGGCCCAACACGCGGAGGGTGTTTTCGAGAAAGAGACCCTTTGGCAGCAAAGCAGATGCAGAAACAAGCCATCGCAGGTATGAGAGGTCGGAGTCGATCGACTCGAAAACGCCGGGGAACTGTACTTTGACTGCCACCTTCTGTCCGGCCATCTTCGGATCCGGGAAGTCGTTTCGTAACACAGCAGAGTGTACCTGGCCGATCGAAGCGCTAGCAAAAGGAATGTCTTCGAACTCCTTGAAATGATGCTCGCGCCAATCCGAACCGCCCAGCTCCTGGCTCATGACCTTGTTCATCTGCCACACTGGCATGTAGTTGGCGCCGTTCTGGACACGCAGAAGGACTTGCTCGATCTGCGGTGGTAGCAGCTTGGTTTCTTGAATCGAAAGAAATTGGCCGAGCTTCAGCGCCGCTCCTCGCATCGTCGAGAGCTTGTCCACCAACCGTGCAACATTTTGTTCCGACATGAACATGCTGCTTGGCGCTGACCCATCAGTACCACCGGAAGAAGCGCGAAGAAGCGATCCGGCTGCACCGAAAGCAAGTCCAGCACCGAGGCCTCCGTAATGGAACAGACGACCTAAACGCGAAGAAGGGACCTTGGCTGCACGCAGTGGCACGTGCTTGGACTCCTTGGTTGCATCGTACTCTTCGAAGTCGACTGGAAGCGATGACGGCTCTCGTATCGGAGGGATTTCGACTTTGACATCCTCTGGCTTCAATACCTTTTCGCCCTCTGGCAGAACTTGCGCCTTGGTCACAGGTGCGGCCGTTGCCGGCGGTTGGTCCTCGGTTCGAGATACATTTTCGACGGTAATTGCGTGGGGGGTAATGGATCGTGACTCTGGCGCATCATGTTCAGTCTCATAGGCAGCCTTTGCGGCGAGTGCATCCACAGAAGACGTCGCAGTGGAGGGCGTGACAGCCAGTTCCGGCGGAGAAGGTTTGAGGGGTATTGCAGATGTAGAGGCTGAAGACTCTACCGCTCCTTGAATGTTTTGATTCGCTTTGACGTCTTCTGTAGAGCATTGTGCAGGACTAGGAGTTGGTACTGTCTCTGCCTTGAATGCCTTACTCGGCCACGGCCTGCTGATGGGAGGGTTCGCCTGAAGAGAGGCGTCAGCTTCACGATGTGGATGGGACGATGCGGAACAAGATTGCGATGGAGCAGCGTTTGCAGCATCGCTCTTTTCTACAGTAGAGCTCGCCTTCAAGGTCTGGCTAGGCCATGGTCGTGCTGACGTAGAGGTAGCGACCTTGTTCGCACCATTGGGAGACAAGACTACACCTTTGGCGATTCGGCACAAGGTCGATGCTATTGCAGCAGCATCCCTAAGAGAGGAGTGGCTCATCGCCGCGTTTGAGTAGCAGCCCTCCCCGCTATTAGTGATCGAGAGGAACTAACAGGAACTCGAGAATGTGTTGATGTTGTTGGACAGAAATATGCCGTCGAGGGACAGAGGACTCGAACACTGTCAGAAGAAATGTCGTCGTGCTCGGATCAGCGCAGCCTTTTTTTACTTTTTTTTTTTTTTTTTTTTTTTTTTTTTTTTTTTTTTTTTTTTTTTGCTTTGCCGAGCCTTTCCGGCTTCCGCCCTCCACACAGAAGAGCTCACGCCCATATATGTACCACAAAACTCAGCCGTCAAAAAATATAAAGGCTCATCCATGCTCGACTTGACTTGCTGAGAACCTACTCAACCCTTTGTCTCGGAGTCCGTTGATAGCACGTTCGGGCCTTAGAAGCTCAGGCTCCCTGCCGAACGCCCCGGCTCCACTTGGTCTCGAAGGAAGTGACGAGGCGATGATGAGCTGGCTTGATGAAAGCGCTCCGAGTCAAGGCTAAAATTTAGGGTCTCGGAAGTTGATTTTTTGGAATTTAAGGCCGTGAACGAGGCTTCGGGGTCTTGACAGGAGTCGCTGCAAGCACATGTACAACCACCAAGAGCTCGTATCAATCTCCTCTACCTTTCCACTAGTCATCACCATCAGCTCGGGACTTGACGTCACCGCATCACGCGCTGAAGGGCCAACTGCGCCAGACATAAATCTCGGACGACCTCTCGGTGGACTGTTAGCCTTGAATCGCTTCGACCAGTGTCGACCACACTCGCCTTCATGATCCGATAGAGTAGATTTGACGTGGCGATAAAGATGGTCGTTGTCGCCACAATCGGGAGTCCACACGGCTCATGGCTACTGCTGCTGCTCGTCGTCTTGATTGGTTTCCCGCATGCGCTGGCGCAGCAGGTCTCACCAGCTCCATCATTGTCTGCATCTTCGAGAGCACCGCTGCCGCCTTCCACGACAAGATCAGCGATCCCAGGTCGAGCCACATCCATCTACAACGCTACCGTTAATGCAGTAGCTCTGAACGACTCGATCATTGCAAGATCACGCATCGACCTCAATGCTACTCAAGGTGCTTTCTTTAACTTTACTCTGCCACCAACCGCTTTCTCTGAAGACAATCGAACAGCGACGGTATGGACATCAGTATCGCTCTGCAGTGGACCCGCTATTCCGCCGTACAATACTTCGAACACAACACTGCTAGAATCCATAGACAAGACAGCGACACAAGCCCGTCGATCAACACTGGCATCGCTGTGGATCTCGGACAATGAACTCTTTCAGCAGCCTGGACCTGCTAACGCGAGCGTATTGGATTCCAATAACATCGGCTATGCGCAAGGCGGCTGGACATCCGTGGAGGTGGACGTGCAGCAGAGCGGCGACAACAGCTCAGAGACACTCTGGATTGGCGTTTGGCCCCCTGCTGACAGTCGCAATGTCACACCAGGAACTTACCAGTTTCAAATCGTTGCGAGCACACGTGCAAAGATGGAGTCGGTCGACTATACTCGCAGACCGACGATAGACGACACTGACCAGACTCGCGCATTGATATCCTCCTTCAACTATACGACAACTTCACCGCCGACTCTGGATGCTATCGTGCTCCCGACGTTTGGGAGCAACTCGTTAGCGGACGCGGACTACTTCAACTCATCCTTCTGCGCCATCGCTGACGCATGGTCGGATGTGCTGAACAGCAACCAGCCAGTCTCGATCAATAGAAGCGACACGAGACGAGGGACTGAAGCTAGTATGCAGGACGACACACGACGTCGATTTGAGGTGTCGGGCTTAGATGCTGGCACCAATTACACGGTTTGGCTTGTCGAGACTACCAATCTGGAGCAAGGCTCGGCACAGAGCGTCAGCACCACCCTCTTCCCAGCTATCAAGATGAAGACCAAACGCAGCGACAACTGTCGACTCGTGTACGATGTACCCTTCTGCCCCAATGTGGCCTATTCGATCCCGGTCAACCCATCGGTCTCGACTACAACAGCATTGTCCGCAGTGGAAGAGTTTGTCACGCCTCAATACTCAAATTTCAGCATGATGATCGACACCTTCCCTTGCGGCGATCGCGACTTTGGCATGTATTCGTACGTGCAGACGTGCGACAAGTGTAAGAAGTCGTATCAAGACTGGCTTTGCGCCGTTGCGATGCCAAGATGCACAGATCCTCTGGAGGATCCAGAAACGCAGTCTCGCGCAACACAGGACAGCACCCAGTTGACTGGTGCACCAACCGGTCTTAACACCAAGCTGCTCCCTTACATCGTCAATCGCAATGGCAACGGCAGCAGTGCGCTCACTTCGCGCCACGACTTCATCGATAAGCAGCTTCGACCCGGTTTCTATGGCGAGCTATTGCCTTGCATCTATACATGCTACTTTGTGGAGCGTACGTGTCCGCCATTAATTCAATGGGCCTGTCCCGTATGGGATGTCACGGCACAGCGCGATTACGGGACCTTTGCCGACAGTGGACCTGAAGGTATCGGAGCAGCCGAGAATGGAGGATCGGGCAAAGACGGGATGCGTTGGGGAGGATATCAACGCTACATAGCCACAGATGCATTCGGAAATACCTATTGCAACTCGATGGGCGTCGACTTCTTGCTGCGCGAATCCAACGCAGCTTCGAGCAGGTGCTCTTCAGCTGTGGCCATCTTGTTTGGCACATCCGCCATTGCGGTAACAACATCGCTATTGATCACTTTCGCATTCTAAGTCTGTGCCCTCACAGCGCAACGTTCACTTTACTACAATCTCCCTTCTCCTCACATGGACATTCACAACAGTTTTGTCAAACATCTTTCGTCGCATTTGCACATTTGCATTGTCGGGTTCTCTCGATTTTAGAAATAGGTTACCATCGATCCCATAAACCGTTCGCATAGACATTGCGCGTAGCGCGGCGCTTTTGATTGTAATCCCGTCTGGACTCAATCGCACGAAACAAGAATCAGGAAAAAACTAAGTGGATTGCGGACAAGGACCCGTGAAGTCCTCGAAGCTCGACAAGGAGGCTCCCGGCCTGCCGTAACAGGGGCCGGTCGAGCGCAGAAACGAGCGGCAAGGGAGGGAATACAGGGAGGGCAAGAAAAAACAAACCAGGCAGCTAACAGTGCACCTGGCTTGGTGATGATGGAGATGATGGTAGCTAAGAGAGGAGTGACGAAACAGAGAGTCTTGGTGAAGAGTGTCTCTGCTCCGCTCTTCATAGAGCGGAGCAAAAAATTTCGATTGTTTTGAGTCCAGCCCAGACGCGCACGCCATCATGAATGATCACGTGATGCATTTCTGTTGCAATTCAGTTGAAGATGCGACGGAGGTTTTCAATTGCCGGCTTGCCGAAGCTCGCAATTGCTGAAACTCAGGATAGCCAAATCCAACCATTGCCAAGGATACCAAAGTTGAAGTTGCAACGGAATTACCAGGAGTTTAGCCGAGATGCGAGAAAGCCGAGTCACTGAGGAATTGAAGAACAAATGTGCATGATTGACATGTGGCGACCAATTAGGAGGTGCTTGTGAAAGACAATGCTGAGGCACAAGAGAGACAATGCCAAGGTGACATGTGTCACACTCAATTAAGTGGGAGGCAACAGGGGTTCACAACAAAGGACTAAAGGTATATATACAAGCAATACTGTAGACATAGTTCATGAGAAATTCTAAGTGTTGCATCTATCTTACACCTGTGTGAAAGGAGCTAGAACATAGCCCAGATGAAGTGGTGTACTGCATAACTTCAACTGATTAAGAGTCTGAAGCTCTAAACTCTCTCCCTCACAATCACTACAACCAACCATGGTAGACAAAACCAATCCCCAAGCCAGTGCCAGCAAAACCACCAAGAGGTCCAAAAGAGTAAAGAGGGTGACAGTCATCCAACAGACACAGCCCAAGAACACAGCCAACAACAACAATGAAATTGAGGATGAACTAGAATACAAATCTGATGATGAAGACCCCAGCAAGCAATACAGCTTCTGTACTGGCTAAACTACTTGAGCTGGTGCTGAAGCTCACATCCCAGAACTACTACAGCTGGAGCGCCCATGTGAGTTCCTTCCTCCGATCCATACAGTCCCTGCCCAGAGTTTGGGGACAGGGTCCAATAGACAATAAATCAACTGTCTGATAGCATACCTTCCATCTGCTTGGAGGAGTGATCTCTCATAAGTGTCAGACTGAGCAAAACACACAGTGAGCAAGCTCAAAAGAAGAGCTTTCAATTGCAGTGAGTCTCAGAGCCAACTAATACTTGAGCAGACCTCCATGCTTAGTAAGCACTTGCTCCATGCAATGCTCCATTGAGTTGATCACAGGGTTGATATGTTTGAGTGTGATCTGGGTGTTCCACACTTCCTCTGCAGCTCTTGCAAGTTCATCCTGGGTTTTTGGAACCAGCAAGCACTTACCAAGCAAGTTTTTGAATACATACCATATGTTCTCAATAGGATTCAGATCTGGCAAAGCTGGCAGGTGTTCCTGCATCTTAATGTTGTATTTGGCCCACTGTTGCTTGCAGATAGCAGCCTGATGACAGCTGCTGCCATCTTTGACAACCAACAGGCTGTCAGAGTATGCACTAACAGCAGTTACGGCATCCTGGAGCAGGCCATTGATGATCCAATCATGATATCTGACAGCTGTGAGGTTCTTGGTGTCATGGGCCTGGATGCTCAAGAAGCAGGAGGGTCACTGGTTCATATGGAAGGAGCATAGGTATCGAAGATCTAGTTGATACCAGTAGAGAGCATGGTCGTAGTGCAGTCTCCATGGAGACCATGGACTCCTACAGACTCACATGCAAAGGAGGACCGAGCCATATGCGAGGAGGGCCAGGCACAGCCATGAAGAGGACCAAGCTCAAGGAGCTGTAAGCGGTCGCGCGCCAGAGACTAGCTGGGGTTGATTGAGTAAGGACTACTCAATATGATTTGCCTAAATGTAACCAAGCGTCGTCGCCTAGTAGTCTTGACTGACCGCCTTGAACACTCCATTCAGAGGTTGTGCAGCATGGACGTTGTTTGTTGGTGAGTGTGTGATACACCCTCCCCTACAGTACAAGTGTTTGTAGTACTGTTGATATGCTCTTGGATGTCGTCTGGACCATGATATGCCAATCACCTACAGAGGACATGAGTTACTGGACCACTGGTGTGAAACACTGCCTACAATAACCAACTGGACCACTGGTGTTGAGCAACACCACCTACAGCAAGGAACTGGACCGCTAGTGTGAAGAACACCACCTACAGTTGTCGACTAATGGTGATACAACACACATGTTGAGAGTTGTTGCAAGAGCACTGCTATTGCAAAGATATGTAACCTAGTAAGTATAGAGTAAGTAGTAAAGTTTCAGAGTGGATGCTGGTCCACTCGAATGCTATGGTAGAAAGAGAGTATTTATATGTTCAATCGGTGTTTTCCCTCGACACCTATCCTGCTCCTCTTGAGGGGCCTTTGTCCCCTGTTAGGCACTGCCTTGCCCTGCTGGCATCATCCCCTTCAATACTGTGCTCCTACTGTTTTGCTCAGCGTAAGGGTTATGCAACACTGCCCTCTCGCCTTCATGCTCTCCTTCTGTCTGATGTGTGATGCCCCCCCCCCCCTTTCGGCATGGCCCCCTTTCGTCTTAATCTTGTGAATCCCCTTTTGAACCTCGTGACCATACCCCCTGATCATGTGGTCACATTGGCTCAGTTCCAACTCAACTTGTTCAGATCGGCTGACTAGTTGAAGTGTGCTGATTCGACTGACTCTGATGTTGGCACAGCTCTGAATACTTGTTTGGATCAGCCAACTAGTTGAAGCATGCTGATCCAACTGACTCCGACATCGGCACAGCTCTGAATACCTGTTTGGATCGGCCGATTAGTTGAGGCATGCTGATCCGGCTGCCTATGTCATCGGCATAGCTCTGAGTACTTGTTCAGATCGGCTGACTCGTTGAAGCGTACTGGTCTGGCTGACTCCAACCAATCCCATGAGATCGATCTGGATTCCCAGGGTTCGATCGATCTCGTAAATCATGTGCACTGCCAACCCGATTAATCTCGTTGATCCCTGATGGTTGTCGACTCTGGTCAATCTGGCGCACCCTTCATATGTTGATCTTCTGCGCACCCTTCATATACTGCTCCGTTATGCGACATTATCATAACTGCCGCTGATCATTTGGCGCACTCTCTTGCGCAGGCCAGCCGTCCCTGTGACAGGAGCATGCAGATGGTTACCACTCAGGGGCTCGAGAGACAAGAGTCAAAGGAACTGTCACCGGTCAAAGGAGAAGGAGCAGTGTATAGGACACCGGTAAGCAGGTCCTGAGGAGGAGGAGCAGTGTCGAAGGAGTCGACACCAGGTCATGAGGAGGAGGAGCAGTGTCGAAGGAGTTGATACCAGGTCATGAGGAGGAGGAGCAGTGTCGAAGGAGTTGACACCACTCAGGAGGCACAGGGGTGCCAAGCAGGAGAGGCCCCTGAACAGTACTCGATGAAGAAGGTACTCTCTGGAGAGAGAGCAGGAGCAGCATTGCTGGCGATGCTGTGAAGAGGTATATAACCATGCTTTCTCATCATCATAGGTCGAGTGGATCCTCATCCACTCTACTCACCATACAACTAGTCAATACTTTAGAAACATAAGTACTCATTAGTTACAGTCAGCATAGCAGCAATCTATCAAGGTTGCTCCTCATCATAGTGTGTGTGTTGTATCACCACTACCTGATGTCCGAAGGCGCCCATAGCAGGTTAGTGGTCCGGATCAAGATAGAACCAAAGGCAGTAGTCCACTGAGGTCCGGGGATCACCTCAAGCATCAGTCAGCACACTGGACACTCGTGTTGATGCCACCAACCTTATCACCAACACCATCAACCTCATTATCATCGACACCACCAATCTCATCACCAACACCATCAACCTCATCATCATCAACACTCACACCAGACCTTGGTGTCATCATAATCGAAGCATTGATATTGATCGTGCTGAGCTACCCCTGAACGGAGTGTCCACAGAGGTCAGCCGAAACCTATGATAGTATATACAATGAATGCCACCTGCTGTCACTGTGCAACTTGATAGTCACCAAATGACTAGCTCGCCGAGACAGATACCGAGACAATAGCTGTTGCACACTTGATAGTCACCGAGTATCTCGACAGACCGACCTGGGTTTCAGGCGCGAGACCCCTGACACTTGGCAGGATCCCATTGATTAGCTGACCCCAGCCACTTCTTTCTTGGAGCCAATGGGAGCACAATCAACAGGGTTTTAAGGTTGTATGCAATGCTGGCCCATACCTGGATGCTGAAACAGCCAGAACAGAATGTCAGAACCATGTTGTTGATGTCTTCTTGAGTGTTTTTCTGGCAACTAACCCATGTGCATCTGGGCTGGTAGCCAACCTTGACAGCTGCCTTGTCCATGAACAGCACACCCCTCCAATCAGTGGTGCTGTTAGCCTTGGCCCATTCTAGACATTTATGCTGGTTTTTGGCTGTCAGAAACAGCTTTCAGAGCACAATCTGGCAGTTAATACTGGCCCAGTATGCTGCTTTCCGGAGCTGCATAACTGGAATGCCACCAAGCAATGCTGACAGCTGTCACCATGATAGAAATGGGTTTTTGAGTACCTCATGCTGAAGGTATTGGTCTGAGGTAGCTGTCCAGGAGCACAGACAGCCAGATTGTGCTTTTGTTTTGAAGGTACCATGCTCCTTAAAGTTATGGATGGTCTTGTGAACTGCTGTTTTGGAAATGCCACTTAGCTCTGCAATTTGTCAAATTGGCAGCCCAGTATCATGCATTGCAATGATTGAAGCATGCTTGCTTGGAGAGAGCTCATTGCCACAGACCATGTCAGCATTTGAAGTGTTCTTGATTAGTATGATGGCAGTGCTATTGCTCAATGATGATGACGACCTGAATGTGGGGTAACTGACTAAATCGGGAAATTACCCAATTGTCCTCAAACTTCTGCACAGGGACTGTACCGTACACCATGGAACACCTCGAAGGAACATACAATGCAGGACACCCAAAGTGGAGCCAATTGTTCAATGATGCATTAACCAATGCAGTGCAGGGTACTATTGACACCATAGGAGAATTCAACATCAACTACCTTCTCCTTGACATCATTAGGGAATACCTTACTTTCAACCAAGTCTGGTAAAGGATCAAAAACAGCTTAGGAAATGAGGCCACCAGAACTTCCTGTCAACTTGCCTTAATCACACAACTAGGTGACATTAGAATGTTCCACACCAATGTTTGAAAGCTGATACAAGAGATAAGAGCTATCCAGGCCAAAGGAAGCATACTGGGAAGGCCATTCACCAATGACATGCTATTCTCCTACCTCCAGAAATGTACAATTCGCCACCCTGTGTACAGAGAAACAGTCACCACAGTTCAGCAACTCAGCTTCAATGCTCTTGCCACAGCCCTCAGTGCATGACAATCAGCATTGGAGAGCATTCCCAGCCAGAAACTCGACCCCCAACAAGCCAAAGCTAGGGTTGCTGAGAACAGCAACCAAGAAGGATCCAGCAAGGAATCAGACAAGAATAATGGTGGCAAAAATGCAAGGGCTGAATACAGGCCATGAAGGATCTGATGTTTTGTGTGCAGATGTTTTGGACATGGAGTGAGACAATGTGATGCATCAGTTAGCATCCCAAAGGATTCCCCCCTCACTGAGTCTAAGTAGGAAACCTGGTGCTCACTGACTCCAGGCTGGCAGAAGATCTCAGATCCAAAGGAGAATACTCATTGGATCCTGGATTTGGGAGCTAGGCATCTTCACTGCTGGCAGCGAGGTCTTGGAGGCAACTGCTGTGGGGGATGTTAGCATAACAACCAAATATGGAGACATATTGCTCCAGAACATTTTGTATGTTAAGAATCTCAATATCAATCTATTATCAACCATGTCTTTGACAGATGAAGGAGCACAGGTGACCTTAGACCATACAGGCAGCCAGATACATCTGGCAAATGGAATAATACTTAAGATATCAAAGAATAGTAAATGTGGATTACTAGAGTTCCAAGGTGATACATGGCAAGAAAATGCAATGACAGTGTCAACACAACCACTTGAAGGTGTCAGCAAAGAATTTGAGCCAATTGTAGAGAAACATGGAACATCCACCCAACAACTGTGGCATGAACACCTGGGACACCCAGGCCGAGACAAAGCTAAGGCCATCACCAAAAGAATAGGAAATGACCCCACAATGCAAATGGACCCAGATACAGCTCTGACATGTGAGCAGTGTATATGGTCCAAGAGCACAATTGCATGGATGGGGCAAGGTAGTGGAGAAAGGTCTGCTGCCCCCCTTGATCTCATACACATAGATCTGATCATTGATGCATCACATGCAACAGAGCACACATGCATATTGGTGCTGGTTGATGATCACAGTAAGTACATGTATGCCCAGCCATTATTATGAAAGAGTCAGGCATTTATGCAGCTCAGAAAGGTAGTCACATTTCTTGAAACACAGACAGGCAGAAGCTTAAAGGTGATTTGGTCTGATCAAGGAGGCGAATGGAAAAGTAATGAAGCATTAGAATGGTTGCAAGACAAAGGTAACAAATGGCAAACTACTGTAGGACAGAATAGCAATCAAAATGGACAGGTAGAGAGAATGAACAGAAGCCTGGGTGAGAAGATGAGAGCACTGTTGATGCAGAGGGGACTGCCAAAGAGCTTCTGGCCCTATGCAATCAGAGCTGCTGCCTTCAAGATGAATCTCACTCCAAATGTGGATAACAAGTTACCATACCAAGCAATGTTCAAGAAACCACTGGATTGGCTCATCTGACTCCTATGAGTGTTTGGATGTCTTGCCTGGGTGAATGTTCCGAAAGTAAAACAATATGACAAGAAGTTAGATCAGTGGGCCATTGCTGCCATATTCATAGGATATAGCTTAGAGAGAAAAGGGTGACTGTAATCTTCTGGAGTAATTTGGCCAAGTTCCTAGAGGACAAGAGTTGGTCAGATCGCACCGATCGGCAACCAATAAACATGGGCCCACCACCAGCTTTAATGGATGAAGAGGAAACAGATGATCTTGGGTATACTGAAAAGGACTTATTCGATGATAGAGACATGGATCCATTGGAAGAGTATATCAGCATGGAGGAAGCAACTGGATCCAATGAGAGCAAGATGCTGTATACCAAGAACGAAACGTTCCAGGCAGAACTGGAAGAGGAAGACACAGGGGAGCACAGAATGGACCTGACCAGCATTGCATTCGGACTCAAAGCCACAGACATCAAAGAAGCGAAGAACCTCAACCCAACGGTTCGAGAGGCATTAAGTGGACCAAACAAGAGATTCTGAGAGGAGGCAATGCTTGTGGCGAGAGGATTCACACAGAAGGAGGGCATTGATTACACGAAAATATTTGCACCAGTGGTGCCGATTCAATCAATCAGAGGGGTATTGGCAGTTGCTGCAGTACAAAACTGGGAGGTGGATTTGATTGACATCAAACAAGCATACCTCAACTCAAGCCTACAACACAATGTCTACCTAAGGCCACTGGTTGGGGCTGAGGTTCCCCAGGGCAAGGTGCTGAAACTCATCAAAGGACTGTATGGCCTGAAGCAGTCAGGCAGGGAATGGAATGCTGAGTTGGATTCACACCTTTGGAAGATCAGCTTTCATTGTATGCCAAGCACACCATGCTTGTATACAAGAGGGATGGGAGAAGAGATCACAGTCATTACTGCATATGTGGATGATATGCTGATAACATCACTCAGCCAAAAGGAGGTAATTCGTACGAAAGCAGAAATAATGGATAAGTGGGGAACTGAGGATAATGGACCAATCTGGGAGTTCCTTGGAATCAAAATCACTAGAGACCAGGAGCTAAAGCGAATATCATTGGATCTAACAGCATACATCTGGGCAATGGTGAGCAAGTGGTTAGAAAGATCAAATCAAAAGTCATGGATACCAATGCTAAGCATAACAACAATTGCCAAAAGCAGTAAATGTGCCCCAACACAAATCAAGGAATATCAGGAACTGGTGGGACAACTCCTCTGGGTGTCCAACATGGTATGACCTGACATCTCATTTGCCACCAGAGTCCTAGCAAGGTATATGTTGACCCTGACCATTGGGGCACAGGACACTGCACTACATGTGCTAAAGTACCTTAATCAGACAAACCAGTATCAACTACACTTAGGAGGGAACATGATTACAGATGCAAGTCAACCAGTGGTCATGTATACTGATGAGAATTGGGCGTCAGACCCAACAAACAGGTGCAGGAGCACATCTGGCACAGTCATGTATGTCTATGGATGCCCAGTGAGTTGGAAGTCCCCTGTGCAAAAGTGTGTAGCATTGTCAGCAGTGGAGGCAGAGTTTGTTGCTGCCTCAGAAGCTGCAAGAGAGGCCCTCTTCTTCTCACACTTGCTCAGGGATCTAGGAATACCAAATATGAAGCCAGTGCTATGCACTGACAGTCAAGGATGTATCCAGGTGAGTAAAGATCCAGCAAAACATTGGAAGTTAAAGCATATCAATACCAGATATTATTTCATCAGGGATCATGTACAGGATGGGGATGTTACAATAGAGTATGTATGGATGGCAGAGAATGTAGCAGATGTGCTAACAAAACTGCTGAAAGGGGTGGATACATCACAACTAGTGGAACTGATAGGCCTGGGAACACCATCGAAGGGGGGAGTTGAAGTTGCGACAGAATTGCTGTCAGCGGTCACATGCCCAAAACCTGATATCTGTAATAGAACCACGTCTATTACGAATTCTGTCGAGATATGTGACAACACTTGTGGTATTATGATTTTTGGCAAGATATGTAGTAGAGACATCTCTATTACTTTTCTTGCTCGAAGATGCAGTAGTGGTTTTGCTATTGCAGGTTTCGACTAACCACTGTGGACACTCCTGTAAGCGGTCGCACACCAGAGACTAGTATTGGGTGTTATTTGTTTGGTATAGATGGGGTTGATTGAGTAAGGTCTACTCAATAAGTTTCAACTTAATTGTAACCAGACATCTTCAACTGGTAAGTCTCAGCTGACTGCCTTGAACACTCCATTCAGAGGTTGCACAGCACATACACTGTTTGTTGGAGAGTGAGTGATACCCACTCCCTACAGTATGAGTGTTCGCAGTACTGTTGATAATGCTCTTGGACATCATCTGGACTGCAATATGTTGATTGCCTACAGAGAACAGGAGTTACTGGACTGCAGGTGTGAGTCACTGCCTACAATAACTAACTGGACCACAGGTGTCAAGCAACACTGCCTACAGCAAGGGACTGGACTGCAAGTGTTGAAGAACACTGCCTACAGTTGAGAACTGGACTGCAAGTGTCTGAAAGACACTGCCTACAGTTGATGCCTAATGGTGATACAACACACACATTTGAGGGTCATTGCAAGAGCACTGCTATTGCAATGGTATGAAACTAAGAGTCAAGTAAGTAAGTAAGTAGTGTGTAGAGTGGATGAGGATCCACTTGTATGCTATGGTGAAATGAGAGTATTTATGCATTCAATTGGTGTTGCCTGCAACACCTATCCCATTCCTCTTGAGGGGCCTTTGTCCCCCATTTGACACTGTCTCTCCTGTTGGCATCAATCCCATTGATGCTGCACCCCTACCATCTGCACAGCATAATGGTTATGCAACACTGCCCTTTCGCCTTCATGCTCCCTTTCCACTTGATGAGGTGTGATGACCCCTTCAACACAGCTCCTCCTCTTTGTTTAACCAATCTGTTCACTGTTTCCTTCTCTCTTCACCAGTGACCACCTTCCTGTCCTTATCTTGTGAATCCCCTTAGCCACCTGTTGGACCTTGTGACCAAACCCCTTGGTCATGTGGTCACCCCCTGTGCTTGGTCCTGTGTGGCTATATGCACACACCCCTTGAGCAGTAACTGTCCACATGATGCTGAGTGTCAGGGGTCTCGCGCCTGAAACCCAGGTCGGTCTGTCGAGATACTCGGTGACTATCAAACTGTGCGACAGCTATTGTCTCAGTATCGGTGACTATCAAGTTGTGCAGTGACAGCAGGTGGCGTTCGTTGTATACTATCGTAGGTTTCAGCTGACCTCTGTGGACACTCCATTCAGGGGTAGCTCGGCACAATCAATATCAATGCTTCAGTTATGATGACACCAAGGTCTGGTGTGAGTGTTGATGATGATGAGGTTGATGACGTTGGTGATAAGGTTGGTGAGTGTTGATGATAATGAGGTTGATGACGTTGGTGATAAGGTTGGTGAGTGTTGATGATAATGAGGTTGATGGTGTTGGTGATAAGGTTGGTGGTGTCAACATGAGTGTCCAGTGTGTTGACTTTGATGCTTGAAGTGATCCCCGGACCGCAGTGGACTACTGCCTTTGGTTCTATCTATATCTGGACTGCTAACCTGCTATGGGCGCCTTCGGACATCAGGTAGTGGTGATACAACACACACACTACGATGAGGAGCAACCTTGATAGATTGCTGCTATGCTGACTGAAACTAATGTATACTTATGCTGAAGTGATAACTAGTTATATGGTGAGTAGAGTGGATGAGGATCCACTTGACCTTTGAGGATGAGAAAGCATGGTTATATACCTCTTCACAGCATCGCCAGTGATGCTGCTCCTGCTCTCTCTCCAGAGAGTACCTTCTTCATCGAGTACTGTTCAGGGGCCTCTCCTGCTTGGCACCCCTGTGCCTCTTGAGTGGTGTCGACTCCTTCGACACTGCTCCTCTTCCTCAGGACCTGCTTGCCAGTGTCCTATGACTCTTGTCTCTCGAGCCCCTGAGTGGTAACCATCTGAGCTTGGTCCTCTTCGTGGCTGTGCCTGGCCCTCCTCGCATGTGGCTCGGTTCTCCTTTGCATGTGAGTCCATAGGAGTCCATGGTCTCCATGGAGACTGCACTACGACCATGCTCTCTACTGGTATCGACTAGGTCTTCGATACCTGTGCTCCTTCCATATGAACCAGTGACCCTCCTGCTTCTTGAGCATCCAGGCCCATGACACTACCCCCCTCTTAAGAGCCGAGCTCCGTCGAGGCATGCTCTGGTCTGGTTCATGCTGACTCCTCCTCCTCCTCCTCTTCGACAACATCGTCAACATCACTCTTCCTCCTTCTCTCAACATCATTCTCCTTCCTCCTCCCCTCTCTCTACCCCTCCTGTTCTCTCCTCCTCTCTCTACTTTGTCTACTCGCTCGTTCCCCCTCCGACACCTCATACTCCTGGATGAGGTCAGGACAGTTGAGGTTCTCTACTGGTTCCCATGAAGCAGCTTCTTCTGAGTACCCTCTCCACAACACTTTGTACTCTGTCATCCCATTGTGTGAACGCTTGTCGATGAGTGCTTCGACTTCGAAATCGAGGTCCTCATCTGGAAGTGATGGTATGGTGGGCTGTTCAGCTTGTTGAGGAAGAGAACTTGTTCTTGCTGGCTTGAGCATGGAGACATGGAACACATCATGCACCCTAAGGTTTGCTGGCAATGTGATTCGATAAGCTTGGCATCCTACTCATTCCTGAACTGGGTAGGGTCCTGCAAACCGGGTATCCAACTTGGGTGTGGGTCTCCTTGTCTTCCAGTTTCGACAGTTGATATAGACCATATCACCCACCTTAAACTCGATGTCCTTGTGCTTCCTATTATACTGGTCCACTGATCTACGTTGTGCCTCTCTGATCTGCTCCTGGAGGTACTTGCAATGCTCCTTTCCATCCATGAGGTACTTGAAGTGACCTGGATCATTGACTCCTAGTCATTGAGGGATGTCAGGATGAGCTT